TTCAAACACCCACCTGGGACAACCTGAGTACGTTTGAGTACTTTCTGGAATGCTTTGGACTTGCAGGGAAATGCCTGGTTATTTCCCATGACAACATGACAAGCATCACAAGCTAAATATCTCTGATTTGGGTTTTAATTTACGCATCTTGTGAGGGTGTGTGTGTGTGTGTGTAACAGATGTAACTTGCTTGCCGGTGCTAGTTAGATAATTCTGTCTCCAAAACACACATACACCTACATTTGATGTTTAAATAAGAATCATTGTACAGACAAATATTGATCCTTGCTGCACAGGATGTTCCAATATTTTATAGCGAGCGGAACAATAACACCACACATGGGTGTTCTGTATCAGGAAGAAATGATCAGCCAGGAACAGATGGTTATATTTGGAGAGGAAGAACTAACAGCTTCATAAATCGATTCAGACATATTGTTGTAATGTAATTGATACATTGTGCATTAAGAACAGCGAGCTATTCCATGCGCGAAAGATTTTTTTTAATTGAAAGGGGTAAAGAATGTGTTGTTCCTCTAAACTTTTCCGTCCATCTTGCTCCATCACCAAATCTCATGCTCCTGTTTTCCCAGCGTAACTTACAAACTTGCTCAGTAAGTTCAAAAGAAAAACAGCAGAAAGCCCCGATCCAGGAGACCCCGTCCTTTGAGGTTAAGTGGGCAGCAACCGGAGGGGCAGCCTTTTCAAGTGGGGGCCCCTTGATTGTGGAACCACCTCCCTTAAAGGAACCGGGCATTCAGGTTAATGCCAGGTGGGCCAGTTTAAGTGGGGGAATATCCACTGTTGTGGCCCCCTGAAGTCTGTCGCTGGCTCATGAGGACGTATGGGAAGAGCCTGTTCTTTAGACAAGTAGGTTCCTCCTAGGCCAGGGGTGGCCAAACTTGCTTAACGTAAGAGCCACATAGAATAAACGTCAAATATTTGAGAGCCACAAGGCATGAACAAATAGATAACCTACACATTTTTATTGAAAAATATGCAAATTTGCTTTTTATTAACATTAAAGAGGGAGGGAGGGAGGGAGGGAGGGAGGGAGGAAGGAAGGAAGGAAGGAAGGAAGGAAGGAAGGAAGGAAGGAAGGAAGGAAGGAAGGAAGGAAGGAGATGGGGGGAGGGAGAGGTGGAGAGAAAGCAAGGAGAAGGGAAGACCAACCGGGGAGGCATGCCTCACCTTCGCTTCCCTAGCTGCCCTGCCGGGAGTCGCACAATATGTGTGAGAGAGCCGCATGCAGCTCCCAAGCCACAGTTTGGCCATCCCTGTCCTAGGCCATGTATATGATCTTGCTGCAATTCTTAAAATAACTCTCTGAGATAGGTTGATCAGTATTATATGTTGCAGAGGACCACCTAGCAAAGACATGGCGCAGGCCACAATGCTTCGCAGGGGCAGCACCGTTTTCAGAAGCGTGTTCACGGAGGAATTACAAAACCGTACACTTGGGCCTCTCTCTGTGCCACTCACCTCAACAGATTGACAGTGCCTTCCTTCCCGATGGAGCACTCTGGCACCGTTTCTCTGAAGTCAAACGCCAAGACCTCCAGAGGATCAGATAATGATTTGCAAGGGTATTCCCACAGCGGATGAGGCTCTGCTTCTCTTGATTCCCTGAAGTCTAAAGAATTCTACCAGAGAAAAGAGGTCAGAGAAATAAGCCTTGCAGGAAATAGTCTGGCGTTCTGACCTTTAATCCTCAGAAAGCACTCACGGGCTGAGCTGCCCAGCAGTTTACCAAAATTCTCCTTCACACAGTACGAGATTTTAACATCTACTCCACACCAACAGAGACAACCTAAGCTAAAAAGCGAGGTAATACACTAGACAGATAGATCCTTTCCTTCTTCACATTGACAGACAGAAGACTTGACCTCGTTTTCCATGTACGACCTCAATGCGTAACTGGACAGAGCATCCATTGGACTGGCCCCCTAGCCATCTAGACTGCTGGTGCAGACCCCTCCGTGTTGAGGGATTACAGCTCAGCGCTACAGCACTGGATTGCCGATCAACAAGTCATCAGTTCAAATCTGGATGCCCCCAGGGACATGAAGAACAGTTCACAGGGACGGGCCACAGTTGGGGTTGGAGAGCAATTCCTTTGAGTGCAGAAGGCCCCAGGTTCAATTCCTGGCACGACCAATTAAAAAGGGGCTGCCAGTATACCCCAGAGAGCTGCTGTCAGTCAGAGAAAATAACCTTGAGCTAGTTGGCCAAAGAGTCAGAAGGCCCTTTGGAGTGTTCCGGCTCGTGACTCAACCTTTACCTCTCCTCAAAATGCGAAGCCTTAAAGGTCTTTCTCCATCGCTCCACTCTTAACTTTCCATCCTTTAAACTACCCTCCAAGTCTCTGTACTTCTCTCCCACTTCATAATGTTATTGTATATCCATTACGCTGTTTAAGTAAGATGACCAAACAGTACATTTAAAAAGAGCCTTTCTGAGGCACAAAATTAGAAGACCTGGTTTTGCTGCAGGTCACATTTCATCAGGGTTGCCAACAGGCCTGGAGAAGAAAATGCCCCACCCCTTTAATAGAGGTGTACTGTGCGGAAACAGGCCATGGAAGCTTTTCACAGAGTGAAGGGAAGCAAGATCACCTGATCAATAACATCCCATTAAGCCTCTGTTAAAGGGAGTGGACTTTTTGTCTCCAGGCTGTTGGCAGCTCCGCATTTCATTCTGGTCGGTTAACAGAGCAACCGTTCCAAGGGCAGGTCTCTGGCAAGCCAATTGCTAAACATCCTGATCTCTGTCTGCATTTCCACTGCTCTCTGTCCTCCAAGCGCCACTTCTAATTTGTCACCCGCTTCAATGTAGACAGCTCCCCTATCAGCCACATAACTCATGTGGATGGCTGACTGACAAGGAAAGAAGCACTGATACAGCCGGTGGCCTTGGGCAAGTCACTTAAGTCAATAATGTGCAAAAACAGCCCAGGTCTCTGCTGGGTTCAGAGCCAGCGTTTATCTGAGACCACCCATGGGGGTTGGGGTTCCCTATACAAAGCTTTGGCTCCAGGCAAGTATATATGTCTGGGGGTGGGGGGGGGAGAGACTCTTTGTTCCTAATTAAGCAGCTAAAACCAGTTCCTCTGCAACTCTTTCTCTCCCTTTTACGCCATTTTCGGCTGCAGCTCACAGCTGCTAATGTGACTCATTACACTCGTCATCCCAGACATTCCTAAGTGGTACTTTCAAAATAACTCCACATTTTTACAATTAAGTTAATTGGCCCTGCGGTCTCTTGCCGTGAAGGCAGGAGGGCTTGCAAGCATTGCTTTATTACCATGAAAGGGACAAAATTTCTCTTTGCGATTAGTTATTTTAGGTAATGGTGCTGGTGCTGATGCTCTCTTTCATCTATTGTGAGGGGTTTTTTGTCTGTCATTTTTTATTGTTTACCACTAAACTTTGCCATTGATTTCATTTAATTGACCTGCTGTGGTGTTATTTGCTGCATTTTTCACGTTTCTTCATCTTTACTGCTAGATTTGCGTACTCTCTTACGTTATATATGGGCCACTGTTATTTTATGTTATTAGATTTCAGTACTTTAATTCATTATTACTGGGAATTTATACCGTACATTGCCTCTGTGCCTCCAGGCAGAGAGGCGGCTCATCAATATTATGAAAGAATAAGTGGTTAGCTAGCCATGGAAAGCTGCGAGCTTCTACAAAGAGCAACTGCAGAGCATTTGGGGTGGGGGAGAATTGTACACTGGCTACTGGTAAAGATTTCAAACACACGGCGCGCCACTTACATGAACAAGATATTACTCAATCGGAACTAAAACAAGAACTGGTTCACACATAATGGGAAAGAGCCTGTCTCTGCACTCTCCTTTGCTCCTTTCCCTTTTTTCTCCCCCATACATCATGATTAAATGAGCCACTTCCAACTTAGCATAAACCAGAGTTTGATGTTTCACCTGAATCAGCAAACTATGGTTTCGGTTTCTCCTGTAACCTAGGTTTGCAAGCCACGGTTTGGCATGGAAGTGCAAGCCACAGTTTGTCCAGTTCAGCTGAAATGGCAAACCGGTTCTGCACTGAATCAACCGGTTCTGCACTGAGTCACTAATCAACCCCAAACCTGCAACTGGAGATGGGAGTGTGTAAGAACGGCATTGGTTCACATTGTGCCAAACCGCAGTTGGTTGCTTATGGCTGGATCAACTCTGTATGTTACAAGTTGTTTAAGAGTGGCAATGTAAAACTTAGCCACATCAAAATCTTCTGTGCAAGAAAAACATGCAAAAAACAAACAAAACCAATAAACAAAAAACCCTAAGCTGCATATTTATGAAAGAAGCAAGGTTTTACACCGGGGATGATTAACTTGTAACCCATTGTAACCCAGGCCCCAAGTATTATAGATAGCCCCTCCCTCTACTACACACCAGGAGACTTTGCTGGAAGTGCATCACTGGCCAAGCCAAGCTTGCTGGAGCCCAACTCCCCTATGAAAACCAACTGGGAGGACCCCCCAGAGCTCTCTGCATTATCACATAGACCTCTGGGACGTCTCTTAATTCCAGGTAAGGTGGTCAGCTGTGCCCAAGGCCCAACTTCCAACTGAGCAGGCGTGCTCTTTGAAAAGACAAAAAATGCATCCCAGGACTCAGGAACAGTTGCAAGGACACCGTCACACGTGATGCTGGGAAGGCTGCCAGGCAATTGAAAGAAAGGCCTGCACTGCCATTGCAAAGGAGTAATGTGGGTCGGGGCAAAGGCCAAGCTGGCATTCCTCTCACTATGGGTGTGACAGAGGACTCTACAGCGTAGAAGCCTCTGGGGTCTCCTCTGGTTCCAACTAGCCAGGTCCTTTGGGTAGAGGAAAGCAGTGAAGCCACAATTAAGATGGTACCCCAAGGATCTAACACTCAGCCCAAAGGCATCGTCCCTCCTTGCTGTGTATGTGCCAGTTACTATTCATGTGAGCTGGAATTAGACACATGTCTGCTTTCCCCCAAAACAAAAGCTACGTTTTAGTCAGCGTGCCCCTACCTTGATCATCTCGTCCATAATTCGAACATCAAACCCCTCGCAGGTACCGCATGGGCTGCGTATTCTCCACAAGTCCTAAGGGAAGGAGAAGCCAAGTGAATTTCCCTCCCAACATTTCAGACGTAATCTGAATGTCACAAGAGTCTGATCTGAGCCATCAGCAGGGTCGTTATGCCTGACGATGAATTGGGTGGCTAGGAGCTTATCGCCAAAGCAGCAGAGCCGGGGCAGTCGGTGGTAAGAGAGGGGTTTCTACATACCTGTGGGAATCAGGAAAATATGACCCTGTAAATTAACCAAAAGATGAAGATCTTCCCACCCGCCACCGGCTCTCACACACAAAGGGTCTGCAGAGCTGAGCACACGCTGGGAGGCTTGGAATGTTCGGGGCAGGTGAGAATCAGATAAAGGGGAGAAAAGACTGCTGAGCGGAGAAACTGCCCTTGCTCATGCTTAGGAACTTCTAGAACGTGGGAACGAGACCACTCGAACGGGAGAATTTCCCAGCTGTTTATCGCCCCTGCGCCAACAGTTCCTCATGTTCCCCCTAGCTTTGTCATGACTAATTTCATGCCTAAAATTTGTGAGAGGCCTGTAACAGAAAAAGACCATTCTGCCAAAGCAATGTGCCAAGTATAGATAAAGGTAAAGGTTTCCCTTGCTTGAAAAGCCAGTCGAATTCAACTCTAGGGTTGCGGTGCTCATCTCTGTTTCCAAGCCGAAGAGCTAGCGCTGTCCGAAGACGTTTCTATGGTCATGTGGCTAGTATGACTAAATGCCAAGGTGCACAGAATGCTGTTACCTTCCCACCAAAGCGGTACCTATTTATCTACTTGCAATTTCTTCCTTGGGATCAGCTATAGGACAACATCATCCTCAGAGAACTGTTTTACCATCATTGTGTATTTTCGGGGACCATCCTGCTTTCATTTGAATATTATTGTTGTTGTGACTAATTGTAACTAATGTTTTTATTGCTTTTATCCTGTTTTATATGGGCTTTGCCCCTTGTAAGCCGCCCTGAGCCACTTTGCAGGGAGGGCGGGGTAAAAATCCTAACAAATAAAAATTAAAATTAAAAAAAATTGCTTTCAAACTGCTAAGTTGGCAGGAGCTGGGACCAGAGATGGGAGCTTACTCCGTCATGCGGCACTCGGGTTTCGAACTGCTGAACTACAGACCTTCCGGTATGCAGTTCAGCGTCTTAACCACTTGAGCCACTGCAGCTCCATGCCAAGTATACTTTACTTTTAAAAAAAGAAAAAGACCAGTATGGCAGTTTTGTTTTTTGCCTGGGGCAACTCTTTTTAACCGTGTTTGTAGGAGTGACAATTGCATAACATGGAGTGATATCTGGAAAGAATCTTCGAACGCAAGCCGGCAGGTTGAAAGCATGGACTGCAAAGAAGTGGGTGCAAAGCTCTCTTCTTCGAAATGTCTATTAAACTGCACTAAACATTCTACTTGTGTTTATTTTATTCATTTATACCCTCCCTTTCTCCCCAGTAGGGACCCAAAGCAGCTTTCAGAATTCTCCTCTCCTCCATCTTATCCTCACAACTACCCTGCGAGGTGGGTTAGGCTGAGAATGGGTGACTGGCCCAAGGTCGCTCAGTGGGCTTCCACAGCACAAGTGGGGATTTGAACCTGGGTCTTCCAGATACTAGTCCGACACTCTTAACCACTACACCACACTGGCCCGCTGCACGTTAACAAAGGGAACCATTTGTGGGAGAAACTAGACAGTGTGCAGGTATTCCCATGTAGGGCAACAAGAAAAGCAAAACTGGTATGGGCTGAAGGCCGTTTCTGGAAGCTGACTGAAAAAGTTGAAGGGCTGCAGCTATCATCTTTCTGCAGATAATCCATGCAATTTGCCTGAAAATCTCCAGAAGTACGAGCAGCCGTGCCTTAACAGCGGAACTTTCTGGCTAGCGGAAGTGATGGAGTCAGACCCAGTTGCAGTGGCCCCAATGAGGTGTGAGCACCTTGAGTCGGAGCATTAAAATCAAGAGACAGTGTTCGAAAGTCACCTACCTAACCACAAGAGTGAGGTAGTGAGATTTGGTACATAGTGGGGATCCCCCCCCCCCCAATTCAATCAGGCACAGAATTTTTTTTTCCAAATGTAACTTCAAGGATTGACTACTGACACACACTCCAAGTGGTGCTGCCCTTGAAGTCATCCCAGGAACTGAAACTGGTGCAAAATTTAGCCGCTTGAATTTTGACTGGCACTAGCTGGTTCAGAATAACACAATCCTGGAATGTACTGGGGTGGATTTAACCATCCATTAAGTAGCCTTTCTCCTTCTCATGTGGCCCTTCCTTCTACGGAACAGCCACCTAATTTGGAGGAAGCTCCTTAGGCTGGAGGGAAGCTGCAAACTTGAGCTGAAAGGAAAAGTGGGGTATAAATATTTTAACAAATCAATGAATAAACCTTGTTCAGTGGAGTTGCAAGAGACGGTAGGAGCCACCTCATTGGCTCCCAAAGGCTGGGGGCACATTAGGCCTGGGAAGCAGTAGGGGGGGGGGAGTGTGAGCTTTTCCCTCCTACACCCCCTTCTCCTTGATCTAACCCCCCCCCCTTTTCCAGGCTGTTATTTTTCTTGCAGGCAAAGCTATTTTATTGTAAAGTCAAACTCACAGCATCTGAATCTTCTCCATACAGGTTCACAGTAAGAATTTTAAGCTCACAGTGTCTGAATACTCTCCATTTTGAATGCAGATTTGAAGAAAAAGATAAGAGCTTTTTTACCTTGAACTCCACGACCATCATATGTAGTGAAGCAGACTGGGGGAAGATGGTGGCGTTGCTCGTGAGGTGGCTCGCGACTGCAGACCGGGCATACCAGAAATATAAATTGTGCCACGGCAGGAGGCTTGTGGAGAAAAAGGGCTCTCCAATTAACAAAGACACCTTAGAGACAGAAGAGAAGGGGGGGGAAGAGAATCGGCATAGGAAAGATAGAGCAAGACTGGCAGGGGCTTGCTTGGACTCCTCAATCAGGGCCTTCTTATTTGCATCAGCAATACAAGTAACTCGGTATCTTACTTGTACAGCAGAAAGTGCTGAGCAGTCAGCCCAGTGGAACCCTAAATGCAGTTAAGCGTTATGTCCATCCGCTGAAGGAACTGCACAGCAAGTGATGCACACATGTATGTATAAAGCAGCCCTTAATTATCACATCCTGTATTGGATCCAACCAGCTTTTTGTATGGTTGCCAGCTCCCGGTTGGGAAATACCTGGATATTTGGGGGTGGAGCCTGAGGATGGTGGGGGTTGAGGGAGGGGAAGAACTTCAACAGGGTACAGTGCCATAGAGTCCACCTTCCAAAGCAGCCATTTTCTCCAGGTGGAGGAGAGGGACGGAAGTGGAGCGGCAGCATCGCCATGAGGGCCGGTTGGGGGCTCCCACATGTGCAAAGGTCTGAAGACCCCAACTGCTGGCTGACGGCTGCCTGTCATGTTGGCCTGCCTGTTGAGACCCGGGGGGATCTCTCCTTCCAGCTGCTTTCCCTCCTGCCGATGAATGCTGGACTTCAGAAATGGGACACAGCACCGGAAATGAGAACGGCTGGATCCAACCCACTGCTATGAAACAAGGCGGAAGACCAAAGGCCAGTCATTCTCTCTTTCAGTTTCACTCTCGCCTGCGTCCCAGAGAGGACTACCTATGTTGCTCTGAACTCTTTGGAGAATGGGTGGGACAAAAATATAAAAAGGGCACTGGGACGCTTCAAGGCCCATGCAGCAGTTCAAACCTTGGTCTCTCCAACCCAAGCAAAACATAAATGTAAAAACATAAGAAATGTAGAAGACAGATTAGCATGCCTCTGTGGGCTAATCTCATGTCGACAACCTTGCGGGTTAGCTAATAAAAGGCAACTGCAACTTCTCGGTCTAGGGTTGCCAGGTCCCCCCCCCCCGGCCACCAGCGGGGGATGGGGGGGCAGGGTTGCCCGATACAGGTTGGGAAACTCCTGGAGATTTGGAGACTGTGCTTGGGGAGAACAGGAACCTCAGTGGAGCACAATGCCGTATCCACCCTCCAAAGCACCCATTTTCTCCAGGGGAACTGATCTCTGTAGTCTGGAGATGAGCTGTAATTCTAGGGGATCCCCTGGTCCCACCTGAAAGCTGGCATCCCTATCTTGGTTTGTGTCACCAGACTTTGTTAGACTCATGTAAAGCAGCTATGCTAATGAGTTATGCTAATGAGCTCCGGCAGCTCTTTTTCTACAACAAGACCCCTGGTTAGACTCATGTAAAGCAGCTGTTTGTACTTAACTTTGCAGGTAAGAATATCAGCTAAAACTGGTAGTAAAAGGCTCTGTTCAGCATAGCAGATTGGACCCTGTGGATCCATTCTGCTAGTGGGGTGCTTTCAACCAGCAGTAGGAGACTTTTCTGGGGTGCTAAGAGAAGGCTGCCTCCACTGTCCAAAAGCTCCTCCACTAGCAGAATGGCTCCACAGGATTCGACCCACTGGACTGCAAGAGAAAGGCTACCAGTCTTTTGGGGGCAAGCAGCAGTTGGTGGTGGTGGCGGTTGTTTTTAATGACAAGCAAAAGTAATTGGCTTACCTTTTTGTCTCCCATATCAGAAGAGAGCATTGATTCTGGATGTTTCTCTATAATTTTAATTTGATCCTGTAGATGGTTAGCTTTAAAAATCTTTGAAGGAAAAAAAGAGTAAGCTTTTAGTGAGGCTTTAAGCATGTAATGTGGCACTAAAGGAATGCAGCCATTCCAGTTAAATGCATGTACCCATTCAGTTCCTCACATTTATAGCCCATCTTTCTTCCCAAGAGCTCAAGGTAGTGGTGTGTGCATGGGGATATCCCAGTTTTTCCCCAACTCACAGGAGATCTGTGCAGCAGGCTAGGCTGAGGCAGAGAGAGTAGCCCTAGGGCACCAATAGGGTTCATTGTCCAAGCACAAGTCAAAACCTGGATCTCTCCGACCTTCTGGAATCTCATTTGCCCTGACTGCTACATCTGCTTGGTATCAGCCTGATCAGACCTGAAGCTGAAAAGTACTGAGCCCACATTTCTCTAGCCTTGTAACACCTTCCAGACCATCCTGGGGACTTCCTGTTCATCAGAAGATTTTAAGGAAGTCAGTGCTGAACTAGTTCTGACATTTTTATGTGAATGTATTAAAAAAATTTAATGCAAAAACGCTGGGAGTGCTAACTGGCAAAAAATACAATTACCCCCATTTTTTTGGCAGAAGCAGCTTCTTGCTAAGTCTTGTTAATTAATACCCTGGAGTTATTCTCCTTTCATTTCCCCACTTAATTCCTGTAGAACAATTTTCCACAACAGTCTATGTGGTTCCATCTAAAGAACTCTGCAGTGAAGGTTCTCTCACTGCTCTCCTCCTGCTCAGGACTCCAGGAACCCCACTGCTCTGCCCCTCTGCCCACCCGAAGGCAGAGGCCCCGCTCTGTTTCGCGAACCTTCCTGGCACTTGAGGGGGTTAAAGCTTAAGCAGAGCGAAAGAGACAGAAGCTTTTTAAAAAAAGGTTTTAAAATGGATTTCACCATGATGTAAAAGGCGTGGATACAGGGGGAAAATATATTCCGATTACCACAATACATTTGCTAGGAAGATGGACATAATACAGCCTTGGCCTGATTTAATGTTCTTCCCTCTGCACTTCTGGAAGGGAAATATTGTGGTGTGCTGTACCAGGAACGTATATGCCCTTATGCAAGTGGGGAAGCTGAAACTATGGGGCATGTTTTACTGCATTGCCCTTTCTATGACCATCTTAGATATGCTTTTATTACTCCTATCCTCCAAAACATCCTGGTAGATCAGAGGAACTGTACACTTCCCTACTTTTCTTGGATCATGAATTATGGATCATGACTATGGATAGAGTCCCCAGATTTTGTGCAGCCACTGGATTCTATCTTAGTTCTGTACTGATTTAATAAACATATAAACTATATTTTCTAGTTTTATATCATCTATGTAATGGTTTTTCTGTAAATATTTCCAGTATTGTATGTATTTTTGTGCTGGTCTTCAACAGTAAACAAATCATTCATTCCCCATGGACCACCAAAAGAAGCCTATGCTGGGAATCATGGGGCTTGCATAGACCAAAATCATGTGGCTTTGGAGCTGCATGGAAGAGCAGAATTGGATGAGATGTGAGTGAGAAAATGGTTTTAACCAGTATGGTTGCCTTCCGTTGCTGTGTCAGCTTGTATTTTGTTTTACCTTTTCCAATTCCATACCACACATATATAGTCCACATAAAGACCCCCTTGCTCATTATAGCAGTTGCACACAAATGGTTTTGGCTCAGGATAAGACTATCTGTAGTACAGATTACAAGAAAAAAAATCATTAGATAAGTTCAGTGTGTAAAAGGCAGGATCGCCTGTAAACTCCCCTTTTTCCAAGACACATTAAAGACAATTGCAAGATTCACCTGGAGTACACCTGGAATGGCATGCCTTCACTAGTGACCACAAGAAGATATCATGTGCATGTATAACCATTCAAAAGAAGGTGAATTACTCACTTTCGTCATGAGCGAATGGGAAACTGCAGAACTCTCCAGCATAAACACCTAGAAGGACGGAACAGGCTGACTTGATTATTCTAACATTTGGAGCTGTGAAATTTTTGAGGAAACTGGAGGGAGGGTTACTTACTCCCTCAAGGAACTGAGTGTCACATGGGTAACTCTGAAGAGTTCTCTGGGAGCTGTCTAGCACAGATGGCATTACATTATAAGGGCCCTGCTGGATCAGGCCAGCGGTCCATCTAGTCCATCATCCTATTTTCAGAGTATAGCTATCCAATTGCCCTGAAGGGCCAACAAATTAGGCATAGAGGCTGAGGCTTCCCCCTGATGTTGCTGTCTGACACTGATGTTCAGAGATGTAGTGCCTCTGAATATGGAGGCTCCCTTTACGAATCGTGGCTTGTAGCCATTGCTTTCCTTTACTCAGAGCATCTGTGTCATCCTGCACCTTCCGCCTTATATCTCAGCAGATGCTCCTTCTTAAATGTGAGCATGGGGGGGGGGAGGTGTGTCTCTAATGGGTCAGCCCAGCACAGCGATGGGCAGTATTTCCCTTTTCAGACCCAACCTCTCACCAGCACAGTGAGAAGAAAGGGAAGCGGGATTACTGCTGCAGTTTTGTGCATTTTGCTTTGGCACCAGAAACCCAAAAATAAGGCCTGTGAGAACACAGCATCCGTTCTCTCACTTCTTTGCAGTTATGCGAGGAATCGGGTCTCAGTAAGGTTTGAAATGAAGATGACAGAAGATTCTCTAGGCGCCCTTTCCGAATTATGACTCATGTGCTTTCATCAATGACCTCATTATCTCACCTGCTTTTACAAGCAGCCCGCTTACATATCTGTATCTTTGGCTTAAAGGAAGAGAAATCCAAGAAGAGTTTATTCTCTCTCAGGGCAACTTCTAAAATGTAACAACGGTGTGCCCTCTTGCTCTAAGAGGGATGCTTCTGAATGTCAACTTGACAGCCAAAACAAAGACTGTGGGTGACTTTTCTAAGTCCTTACCAGTGTTCCCTCTAAGCTGAGTTAGTGTGAGCTAGCTCACAGTTTTTTAGCCTCCGGCTCACACATTTTTGTCTTACCTCAGGAAGGATGGCGCCAGAGCCAACTAATTTATGCAGTAGCCGAATCGCTCGCTCACAGCTTTAATGCCAGCAGCTCACAAAGCAGAATAATTGCTCATGAGACTCCACAGCTTAGAGGGAACATTGGTCCTTACATAATGGAATGAATCCTACAGAAATAATTTGTATGGCATCCTTTATGGCACATAGCCTACAAGGACCACCTGGGCCTACAACTGAGGAGAGCTGGAGGGTGAGGCTTGTGGATTTCATTAAGGACAACCCCTCCACACACACCCCTCTCTCCTAATAATCTGAATGCTGACTTTACAGAGCAACAGATCTCCTCTTTGAAGAACTTACAAACTGGGTTTTTTTGCCAGTAGGGGAAACAATATAGGGGAAGGTGTGAGAAAGGAGAAGCAAGACAGGTGAGAGATGAATGTAAGCAAGTATCGTTATCAACACTTGCGCTTCCTTTTCACTGGGAAATGAAAGCCAAGGGTTCATGGGGGAAAAATAAAGTGAGTTTCACAAAGAGGGTTTTGAAGGAAAAGAGCAAGGTAGCCTCACACAGCTGTTCTGGGAGAGAGTTCTAAGGGTCAGGGATGGCAGGAGAGAACGGGTGGGGTCTTTTAAGGAAGTGGGAGTCCTGCGGGAGATCGAAGTTACACAACTGACAGCTCTTAAAGGAAAAACACTGAAAACAAACGGCCATCCATACAATGGAAACATGGAAAAGAGGGCAAGAGAGTCAGCATCGATTAAAAGAAACAAGAAATCCAAGCTGGGAAAACCCGTGGTGGGGGTTCCTCACACCTGTTCTGCTCCAAGGTAGCAAGCCACGATGGGAAGGAGGCTGCCGTCGCTGATGCTCAGGCAAGTGCTGGTGGGCTTCAGGACCTTCGAAAAGGAAAAGGCAAAAACTGTCAACAGCTCCCCAATTCCCAGATGCAAAAGCTCCCTGATGAAGGAGGACTGCTGCATTTGCCCGCGTATCATTACTGGAATTTATGCCACTGCCTGAAGGCTGCCTGGAAAGTACATTGCAGGCAGAATTCACAAGAGAGCACATTTTTATGAGTCAACATCTGCAAGAAGAACCCATTTGTCATAATAAAAAATCTTCAGTGACAATTTCAGCTTCCCTTTCCCATCCACGCAACTGGATGCCTCCCTTAGTTAAGTCTGGATGTGCAGGAAAGTGAAAACCTAAACAGGCTTTTGAATGAGCAAAAGCAGAGATTATGCTCTGGTTCTTTATTCTGAGAACAGAACCTTTGGTTGGTTGAAACACAGGATCTTATCTTTTTAACGCTGTTGAAGCCATTGCTGAGATTTCCACCCAGAACCATGATTTGTCTCACCTTTCCTTTCCCCACAGTAGCCCAAATTGTTGTGTTGTTAAGGGACAGGGGACCCCACCCCAGTAATAGCATGACGGGGGGGGGGGAGTTCTGCATTGGCAAGGGGAAATATGCATAAATCAGCTCCCCTCCTGTTCATGGGACTCCTCCAGTGGATCTTAGTCACAAAGGTAAAGGTAAAGGTTTCCCTTGCTCGAAAGCAGTGCTCATCTCCGTTTCAAAGCCAAAGAGCCAGCACTGTCCGAAGACGTTTCCGTGGTCATGTGGCCGGCATGACTAAACTCTGAGGCGCACGGAACGCTGTTACCTTCCCACCAAAGCGGTACCTATTTATCTACTTGCAATTTCTTGCTTTCGAACTGCTAGGTGAGCAGGAGCTGGGGCCAGAGAGCTTACACCGTCACGCGACACTCGAGTCTCGAACTGCCGAGCTACAGACCTTCCAGTCTGCAACTCAGAGTCTTAAAATGTAATAAAATCATGGGAGTTCCTCCCTTCCCATTTATTGATTTATCTATCAAATTTATACCCTGCCCTCCCCACTGGGGCAGGCTCAGGGCGGCTTACAAAAATTAAAACACATAAATAACCATTAAAACAATCATAAAACCATCTCAAACAATCCAGATGATGTAAAGTGCTAGTACAATTGGTCTGGCAAAATTAATGCTAACAATATTTGGTGATGACGGCAGCAATTGTTGTCCTGTTCTGTTGATCTGCTCCTCGTTCTGTTTCTCCTTATGTGGCTGGCTCAGGCTGTTGATGATAGTTCTGGAGGGCAGGGATCACAATTAATTATTTGGGGGGGGGGAGCTCCTAGCTGAAGGCCTGGTGGAAGAGGTCTTGCAGGCCCTGCGGAACTGCATAATGTCCTCCAGGGCCCTTATCTCTTCCGGGAGCTCATTCCACCAGTATGGAGCCACCACCGAAAAGGTCCTGGCCCTAGTTATACCCAGCCTGGCGTCTTTAGGTCCCGGGAGGGTTAATCAGTGTTGGGACCCTGACCGCAGTGCTCTCTGGGGAATGTGTGGGGAAATGCAGTCCTTCAGGTATGTCGGCCCCTGACCATTAAGAACTTTAAAGGTAATAACCAGCACCTTGAAGTGGATTCGGTATGCTATTGGTAGCCAGTGCAATGCTTTTAACACAGGCTGGAGGTGTTCCCGCATAGGGAGACCCATCAAAAGCCTGGCTGACGCATTTTACACTAGCTGTCGCTTCCGGATCTGTAACAAGGGCAGCCCCATGTAGAGAGCATTACAGTAGTCTAGTCACCTGGTGACCATTGCGTGGATCACTGTGACCAAGTCATTGCGTTTGAGGAAGGGAACCAACTGCCTAATCAACCTTGGCAGTGGCTGCTACCTGGGCCTCCATTGTTAAGGAAGCATCCAGGAGCACTCCCAAGCTCCTCACCTCCAACGTTGGCACCAATGGCGTCCCATCGAAGGTCGGGAGGGGGATCCCTACCCTCGGCCCACCCTGGCCTAGGCACAGGACCTCCGTCTTCATCAGATTCAATTTCAGTTGGCTCAGTCTAAGCCATCCAGCCATTTCTGTTGTCAGAGGCATCTTCTCCTAGGATCAAAACGCAAAGGCCTCTTTATATCAGGCAGAACCAGATCAGGCTTGGCAAATTTTGGCTAGTCATGGTGGCCAGCTACACTTACGGCACAACAGCAACTCTGCCTGTCCCTTAGTGGGAGGGGCTGGCCCCTGCAGTTGTGCTCAACCTTTTCGGGGGGGGGGGGTGCACTCTGTGCATTCCACAGCCTGACGTGCTTCAGAGCCTCTGCCTGGGAAAGGATTTGCCACCGAAAGTAGCTTATCACACCACATCTGACGACCTTCTTTGGGTCCAGAGAAACAGTGCTCAGCTCTCTGCTGCCAAACCGCTGCTGGGTGTGCAAGCCGTCATTTCTTCTAGTAAACTCAAAAGTCTCAGGTATGGTAACCCAGACTTCAGTGATGTAAGACACTAGCGTTCCAAGAATGAGCCAGAAAGACACCACCATCAAGGTAAGAAACACCACTCACTTCCTTCAGAGCTCGGACATACTGGGCTGTTCGGGTCCGATCATTTAGCTCTCCAAACCGTGGCCTGTTCCACAGCAGGTGGGCCTGGCACCAACAAACAGGACTCTCAATGTGGACCTCGGTTTTGGCCTCGTCGCTTCTACAAACAAGCAGATGAATAGCCCATTCAGTTGTGTGCCTTCCCGTCCAAATATACCTTACCTTATGCATTCCAAACAGTGGAACTAAAGTTAGCTTTGTCCCTAGATTCCTTCCAGAGGGGGGCATGGGTCAGCAGGAGGGCATTTGCTTGGCGTGCAGGAGGCCCCAGGTTCAATCCCCAGCACCTCCAGTTACAAGGTGATACAAAAAGCCTCTGCCTAAGGCCCCAGAGAGCTGCTGCCAGTCATAGTAGACAGTTCTGATCAGTAGGAGGCAGCTTCATATCTAGATCTACAGCTGTCTTCCGATTCAACAAGTTTACCCAACAGTTCTCTCTCAGCTGCTCCTGCCCCACCAAGGAAGAAGCACATTTAGTGTCGAGGCAGGGCAGAGTGGGGCAGCGGGGTGGAGGTAGCAGACTCGCTTTATTGCCAGGACTTGAAAGCCGCCCCCTGTTGCTCCTCAGCCGCAAGGAAACTGCAGTGCCAAAAGGTCAGGGCAGACCATTCCTCCCCTGCACTCCCTGCATCCTCCAGGCCTCTGGAGACAAAGGAAAGAGCAAAAGAGACAGAAGGGTGCCCTGCTGCTTCCCCAGATGAGAAGAACAACAAAGCGCTATTCAGGCTGCCTCTGAAACTCCGCGCAAGAAAGGGCTGCTGGTCTGCAAGGGTCTGAGACTAAACTGCTATTCAGGAGCAGCAGCAAGTTTCCTTCGGGCCCAGTTCCCGGAGAAGGTGGTGCTCTGGGCTTACGCAAGCGAGGTTACTCATTCACTTTAAAAATAAACTGTTCAGCTTTTGGCACAACGTCTGACAAATGCATCTCGCTCCCCCCTGCCGTGTCCAAGCGCCTGTTAGAAGCGACAGCAGTTGCGTAGGAGCTGGGCTTCCGTGGGTGCGTCCAACAGCAGAGGGGAACCTTGGGAACAGCACTGCAGCCGGCAGAAGGCTGGGGCTCAGCTTCTGCTTCCCTTCCTGCTGGCAAGGATTTAAGCCTCAGTGTGGCCGGAGGTGAGAAGGAAGGCGGCATTGGTGGGAGACAGCCAAGGAAGACCCTGCAGAGGAAGGCATTGGCTAATTACCTCTGCTTCTCACTTGCCTAGAAAGCCCCTTGCTGGGGTGGCTGTCAGTCAGTTGCAACTTGACCACACATGTGTATGCACGTGGCTAGAGGTGCAAAACTATGGCACAAGTCAAAGGGTCTTAGCCCATGGCTCGTCTCCCGTGGCCATAAATGAGCTGGGCTGGAACATTGTATGCACGTGGCTAGAGGTGCAAAACTACGGCACAAGTCAAAGGGTCTTAGCCCGTGCTCGTCTCCCGTGGCCATAAATGAGCTGAGTCTAGCCTGGGGGTGGGGCGTATTATAGTGTGGGTTGGTCTAAATTAAATTTTTGGATTTTATAAGGCACTCTGGGTCCCTGCTGGGGAAAGAAGCAGGGTATCAATGCCTAAATAAATACAAACAAACCAACAGCCGTGACGGTAACATGGAGAGGTTTGCTGCTGTATATGGGCAAGGCCGGATCCTTGCTGCATAGATTGTTACCAGGCCTACACCAGGGACAATGGTCATGGCAAGAGCCCGTGCACAGCAGTCCTAATAGCCCAGTGCAGCCCAGTCTCATCACAGCCTGGACGCTAAGCAGGGTTGACCACCAAGGAAGACTGCTATGCAGATGAAGGCAATGGGCAAGCCACCTCTGCTCCCCGATGGCCTTGAAAACTCCACGAGGTGGAACTTCATGGGGGTCATCATGAACTGGTTGTCCCTCAACGGCACACTTTACCTTCAAGAGCCTGGGCAATTGGCCCTGCAAACAGAGTGCCAGGGCTTTTACAGTATCTACTGAGGCAACAGGGGATGAACTCACAGAAGAGGAGTTCTCACACAGCTGCTGAGACAGTGAAGTCCTCCGGCATGGGATTTTATATTTGTTTTGGAACAAAAGGAAGAAGAAAGGTAGAAGCTGTGGTGCCAAAGGCAATGGGCAGGCCTTTCTGTGAAGAAGCACGAGAGAGGACCAAGGGCTGCCCAAGTACTGACAGAGCCCCGTTCAACCAACTATGTGGTAAAATCTTGACAGGGTCTTCAGGGTGCTGTCAGGGTTTTAAACAGCAACTGATTTTTTCATGGAGGAAGGAGGAGGAGGAAGAAGAGGAGGAAGAGGAAGAAAAGGAGAAGGAGAAGGAGGAGGAGGAGGTTTTATACCCTGCTCTTCACTACCCAAAGGAGTCTCAGAGCGGCTTACAATCACCTTCCCTTCCTCTCACCACAACAGACATCCTGTGAGGGAGGTGGGGCTGAGAGAGTTCTGAGAGAACTGTGACTGAGGCCATCCAGCTGGCTGCATGTGGAGGAGTGGGGAATCAAACCCGGTTCTCCCAGATTAGAGTCCACCGCTCTTAACCACTACACCAATCTGGAGTCACAACAAGCCTCTGGCTCCGAGTGACCCTTCTTGGAAAAGTAGGCAAAGCTGTTTCAAGCTGTCACTGCTCTGGATTTTGTTAATGTTGACGAGATCACTCATGCTGAAGCTATTTATAGGACAGGGGTGCCGACCAAAGGGCAAGAGCCAAAGGGATCACGGCTCATGACTCACAGCCCCTGGGCCAGACAGGTTGACCTGGTGGACGGCAGCCTAGGATGTCTTATTTGCTTTTGGTCTTCTGTCTGTTTTTATATTGCTTCATATAAACATGGTCAAAAGTGTATTTTTCAGTGGGTGCCCATTGGGAGAGAAGCAGGATAAAATATACGAAAGATATAGGCCTTCCTACAAACCAAATATGAGCAGAACAAGCCAGTCCTTATATTGCTTCATATAAACATGGTCAAAAGTGTATTTTTCATTGGGTGCCCATCGGGAGAGAAGCAAGATAAAATATACGAAAGAAATAGGCATTCCTACAAACCAAACATGAGCAGAACAAGCCAGTCCCGTGGATCATTTTAGGGTATTTTGTCGGGTTAGGCCACAGAGCCCACTTTATTGTGCTGTCACCGAGACCTGCTTTTTTAATCACAACTGAAGTGCAGTCCTTCTGGCAGCCTGTTTCATGCTTGTATCTAGCTACGTTCAAGATGTAAAATACACATATACACGCATTAATCCATTGTGGGGTGATTAGGGTTTCCAGGGAATTGCCCAAGGCTTAGGCCTGTTTCACACATGCAATAGAGTGAGACCGCAAAACGGACTGCGCCCTTACAGAGGGTGGATTCCCAGATCTGAATGCTCCTTCACATTAAAAACAGAAAGGAGGAAAAGGGCTTACTTCTCCTCTTTGCATACCATGCTGGTGTCCTATTTACGGGAATCATTTTAAACGTAGGGGGTACTCAAAAATGTGATCCCTTGTAATCTGACACAGAGCAGCCCACAGCTCGCTTGACCATCTGATCTGCATGTGTCAACCAGGTCTGAGTGACACCGTCCTAAAATGATATTCATTCAGAAAGCAAGCCTCCCTAGCACAATGTATCTCGTCTGGCCCCCTGGCTCCTCTCAATTTACCGGACTTTTTGAAGCTTATACCACACTGAGTAATCATCGCGAAAGGCAGTCAGGTTCACGCTCTGACCCTGGAGAACAGACTCCTCATCTGGAAGGAAATAGACGCACTGCATCCAATGATCTCTCCACTGGGGGGGAAATTAAGACAAGAAAAAACGAAACAGGCTCAGTAAACTAAAAAAAGAACGAGAGCAAAACAGCCATCGGTGCTTTCAGTAACGCAGCAGGAGACAAGGAGCACATGAGAGGGCAGCAGGGAAATGCACATGTTCCAATTTGGAACAGAGATGGAATGGGAGAGGGGCTTACTGCAGACTGTGCCAGTTAAGACAGGCCAGTGGGCCCCGACCTGGATAGTCCAGGCAAGCCTGATCTCATCTCGGAAGCTAAGCAGGGCCGACTCTGGCAAGTGCTTGGATGGGAGACCTCCTTGAAATACCAGAGGCAGGAGGTGGGGGCAGGCTCTATTCAGCCTGAATATCCTCCAGGCTCCCAGTAGAGGTCAGTCACCGGAGGTCGCCATGACTTCCAGGTGCACGCACACACACACAAATGTAAAATACAAAAAACACCCAAAAAAATACAGAGAAAGACTGGCCAGGGAGAGCCGCTTGCAGTGCCTCCAGTGTGTTAGACAAGGACAAAGGGTTGAATCCCGTGGCAATTTCCACCAGGACATTCCTGCCTCCAGCTGCAGGCCAAAATGCTGCCTGAAACAGAACTTTTGGGGAACCCTCTGGAACAGCATGAACGGAGGAAGTGGGGTGGTTGTAGTCCAAGGTGGGTCAGGGGGTGTGAATCCATGAAAACCTCCCCCTCTTTTTGCTAGCCAAAATTCATGGCTTGTTTCAACCCAACAACAGTGGGAAGTAGGGTATTTACAGCAAGGACTCCTAAATCTGCTTTCTGAAAAGTTCAGACAGCAGTGCCCCTTCTTACCTTCCAGAACAGATTGCAGAAGGTTTTTTGGCAGGCATTTGAATGCTTGGGTTTCTTTCTTTATTTCCCCTGGAAAAAATGGCTGGGCCATCCAAGGGAGCTGGTTCCAAAGCAACATTTTTAAAAAAAATCTGCACAGCCAATCAAATCTCCAATAGTCAATCAGAAGCCTTGCTGGGCAAAAGCTCCACCTGGCCCCGCCCACTTCCCAAGAACCCTTGGCGGATGCCAGAAAAGGTGTCAGCAGGCACCACCGGGGTAAGGGATAAAGTTGCTTCCTGCCTGTGCTGAAAATTCAGGACACAGAAACTATCTTGCTCCTATTAGTATACCTCCTAGTATACTTCTTCTAGAATACCTCCTAGTATGACCAAAAAAGTAAAAAGAATTTTGAAAACTGCCTTTTAATAAGAATCTGTCACCTCAACATTTGGATTCAAGTCCAGTAGTACCTTAGAGATTAACAATATTACTTCTTCAACTGAAGAGTGATTAACACATGGAATTCACTCCCACAGGAGGTGGTGACAAGCATGGATGTGGGAGGGCTTCTAGTGTCCTGGCCCCATTGCTGGACCTCTTGATGGCATCTGGTATTTTTGGCCACTGTGTGACAGAGTGTTGGACTGGATGGGCCATTGGCCTGATCCAACATTGGCTTCTCTTATGTTCTTAGATATAAGCTTTCAAGAGTCAAAGATGCTTTCATTAGATACGCCACTGCTACATGTGTAGATGTCGACAGCCCAAATTAAAATGAGATGCTGGCTGCATCGAATCTTGTCTTGTATGCATTTTCAACTTTCTTTTTTGTATCCCCACCAACACATTTAAACTGGGCCTAGCCACATAAGTATGATGCTTTTAAAGAAGCCTAGTCAAACAGAGCCATTCCGCATATGGGTATTAATTTTATCTCTTAGCATTATCGTGTCATGAGGGGCAAGCAGGATTTCTAAAAGGCTCAGCACTTTACCGGGGGATCCTCGGAAGTCACTTGCACCCAGTACGGGGCCATCGTACACTTGATGGACCCTTCGGGGTCCAAGTCCATGTCCCACCAGGAGAGGACCACTTGGGCTCGGCCGGACCTGACAGGCTCCAGCTGCACTGTGAAGGAGGCAGGGGCTCGGCTTACTTGCTTGCTGAAATCTACACTGTGGGAAATAACAAACTGTAATTAGTTCATTTTAGAGACTCTCTTTACACCCAATGTTGTTGTTTTTTAAATAAATTGTTTATTTCCTCATTAGCAAAGATACAGCATCAGGAAAGCGCAGTTCCTCAACACTTATAAGACTAAAACAACATCCGTCGAAAAACTAGGCATCACCACTCAAGGATACAGTACATATAAACATTAGCCAGCAAAAATACAAGAGTAAGAATAACAGCCATTTTCTTCACCCCCCTCAGCCAACACTTTACACCCAATGTTAAAAAGCACTAAGAGTACATCAAGAAACCAGCCGCAAAGCCAGACGGCAGAATTTACAACACAAGTCAAAAGGACTGAACAGAATTTTTAAAAAAAAATTATCAAAAAATCCACTTTCTTCTTATTGATTTATTTATTTATACGTTGCTTTTCTCCCCAACGGGGACCCAAGGCACTTTACAACATCATTCTCTCCTCCTCCATTTTATGACCATAATATGCGAGGTAGGGAGAGAAGAAAACTGGCCAAGGTCACCCAGTGAGCTCCCACGGCAGAAACTAGTTCTCAGGTCCTTGTCTGACATTTTAACCACTACATGGCCCTGGAACTCTTTCAACAGAGCAGAAAAGAAAAAGCAAGGTGTAGAAAAAACTTTTTATTATTAATCTTTCTTGATCCCAATGCATTTCACCTATGGCTTTGTCAGGAGATCTGTTATAAGCAAGAAAAATGCACTCATAGAATAAAACCATTCATAAAAATATATGTAGTCATTATAATCCATTATAATTTTCTAGGGGGGACTATTATAGAATCATTAGCTGTTGTAGATATTCCGGGTTGTATGGCATTGTAGGACCTGACGTTTTGCCAGTAGCTGTGACTGGCATCCTCAGAGGTATAACACAGAAAGATGGAATACTCTCTGTGTCAAGGTGAGAAGAAAAATGGTAGGCAGGTAATTTATATCTACTCAGGAAGGTCTACTTATATCTACTTCCTCAGGAAACAATCCATATACAAAAGAACCTCCTCAGGAAAGCTCCTCCATTAGCATGTTCACAGCCTGGGGAACTCCTACAAGATAATGACTCAGCCCTACCCCACCTTCCTGAGTAGAAATTAATAAATTTAGCACTCACCTAAACATTGTAACAACGTCACTGAGAACAGTGAAGTCCTTCATGGGCACCTGATTCAGCTGGATATCATAGACGGAAGGAGCACCAGGGCAGCCTTCCATTTCGGGTGGGGAAACAATGGCCTTTTCGCCGTCCTCCGTTTGAATGCAAATGGGAAACAGCTTGTTCCAGGACCACATTCGTTCAGACTCCACCAGCTGAGCATACACTGTTGCCCTGTGGGGCACTGCCTCACACTCCTCCTAAATATTTAAAAAACAAACTTTTAGAAAAGTAAAGAAACTGAACAAGGTTTGTTTAACAGCATTTTTGAGAAAAGCAAAAGTTGGGAAATGTAATTTTAAATACATACACCCACACAAAACACAGGCTATTTCTAAAACTGTGGTTTAGGTAAAGAAACTGAACAAGGTTTGTTTAACAACATTTTTGAGGAAAGCAAAAGTTAGGAAATGTAATTTTAAACACACACACTCACACAAAACACAGGCTATTTCTAAAATGGTGTTTTACGAACTAAATAAGAGATCTGGTCTTGGCTGACTTTTGCTCTTCCATCTCTCCACTCCTCCCTCTGTAAACTAAGAGAAATCCCTGTCTGCATCGCACCTGGATCCCATGCCCCAGGCAAAGATGTTTCTTTTTATCCAGGCTTTTAAGTAAGGGGTTGATCTTCTAACATTTTTTCCAGGCTGCTCTGATATGGAGAAGCCTTTTATTGGACATTTTAAAAAGCTGCTCAGTGTCTTAATGCCGTTGTTATGCCCTGGCTGGGTTTTTCATTGTTAAAAGGTAAAGGTAAAGGTTCCCTTGCTCGAAAGCCAGTCGAATCTAGGGTTGCGGTGCTCATCTCCGTTTCAAAGCCGAAGAGCCAGCGCTGTCAGCCCCCCTCCTGCTCATGGGACTCCTCCAGTGGATCTTAGTCACAAAGGTAAAGGTAAAGGTTTCCCTTGCTCGAAAGCAGTGCTCATCTCCCTTTCCAAGCCAATACCTGTCTGAAGACTTCTCCGTGGTCATGTGGCCGGCATGACTAAACACCAAGGCGCACGGAACACTGTTTCCTTCCCACCGGAGTGGTACCTATTTATCTACTTGCAATTTCTTGCTTTCGAACTGCTAGGTTGGCAGGAGCTGGAACTAGAGACAGGAGCTCACTCCGTCATGCGGCACCCAGGTCTCGAACTGCTGAACGAACGACCTTCCACAGCCTGCAGTTCAGCGTCTTAACCACTTGAGCCACCGCAGTTCCTTTTTCATTGTTACTGACTCTTAATATTCTGTGGTTTTGTTATGTTTTATTTTATAAGCCACCTTGAGCGGGTTCTCTGCAGAGGCAGCCTGGACGTTTTCTAAATAAATGAATAAATGTTTACTCAGAAGAAACTCTTGCTGAGTTCAATCAGTGTTACTGCCAAGTAAGTGCACACAAGTTTGTATGAGCTTTTTCTTACGGTTACCATTCTCCTTAGCGATTCCCTTTTCATTTCTACTCTGGAATAAATGGACACAAAGCTGACATCAGAAATCACAGTATTCAGAAACCAGTGGGGCATTCTATTGCTGATATGAAAGTCACCAGTCTCCTACAGAAAGACTTCAAAAGGATAATCCAAAGGGAAACTGCTGAATTAGCAGCCATCAAGAATTAGATTTCATCATTATTTCTCAACCAGAATTTAACAAGGACCTGCCATTTAGTTATGTCAGAGCACCCCTTACATATTTTAATTAGTTCAGCTATACCTCTACACTTCTGGGTCTGCATATCATGGTCACCCTTGCCCTAGATCTCTTTTAAATCAACACTTCACACATTTGATGAGGTGGCCTCTGGCTCACCAAGTTTATGTTGGAATAAATTTTGCTATTTTTTGAAGCAAAACAAGACTTCTGTTTCATGTGGGTCCTACGGAGTTCAAACAACCTTTGCAGAGTTGTTTTTAAAGCCATCTACAAATCTCTACAGATCTATACACAACAGGGCAACCATAAATCCTGAAGTCAGTTTTAAACATGACATATAAAGTAAAGGTAAAAGTTTCCCTTGCTTGAAAGCCAGTTGAATCCGACTCTAGGGGATGGTGCTCATCTCCGTTTCCAAGCCGAATAGCCAGCACTGTCCAAAGACATTTCCGTGGTCATGTGGCCAGCATGACTAGATGCCGAGGCGCATGGAACGTTGTTACCTTCCCACCGAAGCAGTACCTATTTATCTACTTGCAATTTCTTGCTTTTGAACTGGTAGGTTGGCAGGAGCTGGGACCAGAGATGGGAGCTCACTCCATCAAAACATGACATATAGGAAACCACAAATTATTGTGTGGCCTTTGCAGCCCGTCAAAATGTGCAATCTGCTGGTACCCTGGTCCCAAGCTTTGTACTGGACAGAAGGGCAGTAGATTGTTCCCACAGACCTCTGGAGGCTCTATGGAAACACAGAGCAATGCTGCTATGACCTGTCTCCAGCTCCAGGATCTTGGGAAGGTCTGTGGCTCATCGCAAGCTCCAGAGGAGAGATGCAAGCCCATACAGTGATAGCAGGACACAAATACTGGCCAATGGTAAGAAAATATCTCAACGTTAAGAAAAATCCGTTAGAATTTCTACTACAGGACAATGGCCAACACCATCCCACGGCACAGGTGATGTGATCGCCCCAGCACTAGCTCATCCCTTACCTGTACAAGGTATCTGTGAGCATGCTCATAAGAGGGCAAAGCCCCTTCACCGATCAGTTCAGTATCAAAGAGCTCTGTTATCAGGATATTTGCACGGCACTGCATATCTCCATCTAGAAAACATAATGCAGTATGTTTGTAACAAGCCTGCAGCTGCTCTAAATATTCCTAATCAGATAAGCAATCAGTTAATGCCACCCCACCCCCAATTTACATGGAGGGAATTCCTTCCCTGCACCCCACCCACTCTTCCTGCAGTATTAACTCTTTTAATCTATCTTTTAATATATTTATACCCCACTTTTCTCCCCATTGGGGACCCCAAGTGGTTTACAACGTGACCCCTCCACCTCCATTTTATCCTCTAAACAACCTGGGAGGTAGGCCAGACTGAGAGAAAATGACTGTTTCAAGGTCACTCTGCCATCTTCCATAGCAGAGTGGGGATTCAAACCTGGGTCTCCAAGATGCCAGCTTCTAACCACTACACCATGTTGCCTCCCATGTAATGCAAAGGAACCGCTCACGTGACTCTCACCAGGCCCAACTGTGACTTCAGTGGAATGCTTGTTGATTATCTTAATTTTGTCTCTCAAGCTGTTTTTCGCCACAATCTTCACAGCTGCTTCAGCCATTGGCTTGAAAACCTAAATGGTAACATGGGAGTGTTCATATTACGCACATTTAGATGTTAAAAAATGTGTCACGAATCCTTACAATGTCCCAGCAAAGCAGCCCAATACAATTATTAGCGTACTGCAGCCTGGGGGAGGGAATTGACCGAAGGTGAGAAACGGAGGCTTGCCAAACTAATACGTTCACAGCCAAAGTGGGATTTGAACCAGAGACTTACTGTGCCACAGCTTAGACTCTTAGCCACTATACCACACTGCCTGACAAGAATGCATGGAGCTGATAATAGTCACACTGCTACCCCATGACCAGTCTGCCTCTGGTAGGTCAACCAGGTCACAATGATTATGTTGTACAACAGGATGGCTGATGAAGCAGTAATTACATGAACACAGGAAGCTGTCTTATACTGTGTCAGACCATCAGTCTAACAAGGCCAATATTGTCTGCTCTGACTGGCAGCAGCTCACTGGGGGCTTGAACAGAGGTCTTTCACATCAACTCCTACTTGATCCGTTGAAGGTGCTGATGACTGAACCCGGGACTTTCTATATGCAAATGTTCTACCATTCAGCCACGGTCCCACTCTCACCCCTCTTCTTCCTTGAGAGATGCAACAGTACTGTGGAAGCTGCGGCCTACCCTGCCTGAGGCCAGTGAGAGAATGGACAAGGTGTCCAAGACATGAGAATATGGCTCCAGTACCAGAAATGTTCCATAATATCCTAGCAGTAACCTACCCCAATTAGAAAACAGCAGATGAAACTTCCCTTGCCTGCTTGACTGGTAGCATGGCTGTAAAATATCACTGCATAGAACCTGCCATCTCATTGTCTGGGCAAATTTTATCACATGATCACGCATGAAGCTGCCTTGTACTGAATCAGACCCTTGGTCCATCACAGTCAGTACTGTCTACTCAGACTGGCAGTGGCTCTCCAGGGTCTCAGGCAGAGGTCTTTCACATCACATCACCCGGTCCTTTTAACTGGAGATGCTGGGGCTTGAACCTGGGAGCTTCTGAATGCAAAGCTTGATCCACAGCCCCTCCTTCCCATTGGACAGTTATGCACAAAATCTGTACCCACTCCATCCTATGGATGAAAGATCAGTTGGGTACTGGACAGAGTGCAGGCCTTTGTGTGGCTCTTCTACAAATAAAGAATAACTAAAACAATTCAACGAACCTTAAAAACCCTGCTTGAAAAGTTCAGTTTTGCTGCCCCTTTGGAACACCAACAAGGCAGAAGCCTTCCTCAACTCTTGCAAGAGGCTATTTCATAAAAAAAGGAGCAGCTACAACAAAGCCCATGAATGGATGGTGGGCTGACTGCACCTGGGGAGTAGGCACAGGAGAGGGCACAGCCGAAAGATGGTGCCACATGCGTATCAAGAGCCCCTCCAATTTCCCCCCCCCCATATACTCAAATCTAGATTGTTTAGCACCTAGCTTCAGATATAAACTCTGTAAAACTTGGATGGAACTGGTATTGGCCTGAACAGCTAGAATCAAATTAAATAACTAATAAAATTAAGTCCTTAACCTGACGGGAAGGGTTTTCTCTTTGGAAAAAAGAACTTGAGAAATTGAATTTTGCAGACTCGAAAGCACAGACGAGACCGCCCCAGCAAAACATAAACCTTCTGGCCACATTCAGTTTGGTACCTAATTAAAGCGTGAAACCTGGCAACGCAGAACGGCCTCCTGCAGCCAAAGCTGTCAGAAACACCTAGGCTCCTGCCAAAACGTAAACGGCAAATGGAAGGTGGAGAAAAACCCCAGATGGCTGCCGACCACAAGTGTCCAAGAAATCTGCTCTCCTCAGCCAATGGTTCGGTATAAATCCCAGGCAAAACTAAAATGTAAGTTAGAACGGAAGAACTGGGGCTGGATCCAACACAAAGTTTCCACCGACTGAATGGATGCCTTTCAGCGGAGCTTCTCCATCTCCTGCTGCAGCTCAAAATGCACTCCAGAATGCTGCCCCTTGAGGATAGGCGGGGATCCCTGAGGAACGGGGGGGTGGAGGCAAAAGTCACCCCCTTCTTCCTTCCATCAACAGAAATTTTCACTGTATCCAGCTCATCTTTCTGACTGAATACATAGACTGAAGGTGGGTCTACGGACAAAGCAGACCAAGTTCTGAGGTCACAGAATGGACTGTACCACTTCAGATCTAAGGTGGGCCATTCTATTTTGAATGCACACTTCTTTCCCGCCGCTGCAGAGATTAAATCTGGATTGATAAGCATCTTGTGCACTGCTGCAACATAATCAGGCAAGGGATGACACTTACCTCAACAGCGTAGCAGAAATCAGCCCCCGCTGTCACCGCCATCATGGACAACAGCCCTGTGCCGGTGCCAATGTCCAGGACGACTGCTCTCTCCCCTCTGGCTTTCACTCGGCCCACTGCAGCACGAATGCCTTGGAAGTACTTTGTGTTCTATTGAGACAGAAAGGCCCCAGTCAACTTTGAGATGACATGAGACGCTTGTTTTGGCTGCAGGACTGACATGCTCCAGGCCTGACCCTAAAGGTATGTGGACTTGAGGATAAAAACAGACTATCTTTTCAAAGAATGATTCAAAGAAGGTTGGAGTCTAAAGAGTTTAAGGAGAAATATAAATATTTTTCCATTTATTTAATAATATACCATTCTGGGAAAACACATCTACAGTACAGATGCTTATTAGAATTTTTGTAACCAAAACAAAACAGCCTTCCCATGCTTTCAGAGAAAAGGTCTGAAAATCATGTAATGGTAAAAAAACCCAAAATATCTCGCAATAAGAACTGCAAAACTGAAGCTATCCCAAACACTCCAAGCTTCACTGATACACACACACACCCAAATCTCTTCAAAAGTGCTTTCCAAAATTTTCATTCCAAACAGAAGTATTAAACTCTCCAGTACTGGCAGATACAGCAGCTGAAGCTTTTGGGGAATGGAATGGTCTCCTGCTATGTTTAAACACAATTTTTATGCCCAGGAACACCACTGAGAATTTTTCATCTTTCTTCTTGCCAATATGTGTGCATCTCCTGTCAAAGAAAGACACATCTGCAGATCTGCAGCTTTTAAAGCTGGAAACAGATGGACACAATTCCCTGCAGGTAGTGCTTTCTGATTTTCTTTCCCTGTTGTTTAAAAATTGTCACCTCCTAGAAAAGTGAATTAAAAATTACAAACAGGTAGCAGTTTCTCTGAACTAGCGAGATGTTAAGAACATTGTTTGGGCTTAGCAGGACTGAAATTTGAAACAGTTTGTTTCATTTGCTTCTGAATGTCACCCAGTGCTACTCCAAAGAATATTTAATCTTGGCTTCTAAACAGGAATTCTGCAGTGGGACAAACATGAAGGCAAGTTCCATGACTGTCCCCCAATCACTTAACAGACAGATGGATCATCAGTCTTAGAGGGCTCACCAACAAACCTTAACCATTACCAGAGAGCATCCAAGTCCGAAAAACCAAATCAACTCTCAACCAAATGCGTTTTCTATGCTTTGTCTTTCTAAGGCTATCACACATTCTTCTAACATCATTTAAATTTTGAAATCTGAAGGCAGCAAGATTTAGTCAATCCACTGATTAGATAAGTAAGAAATTATATAGTATAATGTAACGTTAAGGAGTGATAAATTGGCTAAGGAAGCAGGAAAGAAAGATAAAGTTAGAAGTAAAGTGAATGTCGGTAACTTTACAAACATAAATGCTAAATGAGATGAGATAAATCAGGATAATCTAATAATAGTTAATATTATTTTGTTTGTTCTGTTTTTCTTTTGTTGTTGTTGTTGTTGTTGTTGTTGTTGAAATGTTGCTATGAATTATAGACAGATAAAAAAGAAGTATTTAAATTTGATTTTCAAGTTTTGGGTTTTTTTCTTTCTTTGTTTAATATGGCTAGAAATACACTTAGAAATGTGATCTGAGATGTGTTGTTGAGAAATGTGGAACCAGTTAGTTATGTTAGAATTTTGTGTTGCGGTTATGATAAGATATGGCGGACTTCTTTTTTGTGTGTTTGTAGATATCTGTGTATTGTTGTGGTTTGTCTTCTTTTTGTGTTGTAAAAATCAATAAAAATACTATTGAAAAAAATCCACTGATTAGGTTAATGGGTTAAAAACTTTTAGACTGACTAAGAAGGGGCCTGCACTTTAACGGTAAAACAGAATTGTTTAGGAGGGCCTTTCTATGGGTGCTTTGGAGCTATGGCTCAAGAAGGTGCTTTTAAAAAAAAAACAAAGACTAAGGCTATGGCCTAGACCACTGTATATAGTATGCATCATCTGTGTTGTGGTGTGTATTACCTAGGGTTGCCAGGTCTGGGTTGGAAAATACCTGGAGACTTTGGAGGAGGATCCAGGAGAGGGTGGGGTTTGGGGAGGGGAGGGGCCTCAGCATGGTACCATGCCATAGAGCCCACCCTCCAAAGCAGCCATTTTCCCCAGGGGAGCTGATCTCTGTCAGCTGGAGATCAGTTGTAAAAGCAGGAGATCCCCAGGCCCCACCTGGAGGCTGGAAAGCCTAGTATTATCCTGCTCCCACCACATAGAAAATAAAGCTTTCTTCTTTACAACTGTGTTATTCACAGGTCAACTGACGCACAGGTTTTTAATCAGGTGACAGTCTTAAAAATACTGATTCGCTATATTGCAAAACAATGTTTCTCACTCCATTAAGGTGCAGTGTTTAGAATGATGGAGCAGACCTATTCAGCCACAAAGCTCCCTGTTGCTGGGCCAGTCATTCTCCCAGACTAGCCTACCTCACAAGGTTGCTATGAGGATAAAGTGGAAGAGAGGAGAACCACATATACAGGTGCCCTGAGCTCCTTGGAAGAAGGGTGGGATAAACATGGGTAGACTGTTGGATCTGACATGTGGAAATCGTCCTACAAGAGTTTGATCTCCATGCCAGCATTCAAAACCTTTCCCAATTGTTGATGGATAAACTGATTTGACAAACAATTAACCTTGAAAAGCCAGGCACATCTGCATTTTTAGCATGTAGCTGCATTTTTCTCTTTCACACACTTACCACACCTGTGTATGCAAATAGAGAGAAAAACTTTATTCTCATATTTACGAAAACCAAAAAAAGGGCAGGGGGAATGGTTGAAATAAACTGGACAAAATTCATCTCAAACACCCTTCGAAAGTGACAAAAACCCCCCCCAAGACTTTGAAACGTTACACTTGGAAAGCTCTTCACTTGCTCCTCAAGAACTAAAGTAAATACAACAGATCTGTTTCCTTACAAGAACTGTAGTTTTCTCGGACAGTCTGTAACCCAGCACATGGAAAGGAAGAACATCCTAGCCAGGCACATCTGCATTTTTAGCATGTAGCTGCATTTTTCTCTTTCACACACTTACCACACCTGTGTATGCAAATAGAGAGAAAAACTTTATTCTCATATTTACGAAAACCAAAAAAAGGGCAGGGGGAATGGTTGAAATAAACTGGACAAAATTCATCTCAAACACCCTTCGAAAGTGACAAAAACCCCCCCCAAGACTTTGAAACGTTACACTTGGAAAGCTCTTCACTTGCTCATCAAGAACTAAAGTAAATACAACAGACCTGTTTCCTTACAAGAACTGTCGTTTTCTCGGACAGTCTGTAACTCAGCACATGGAAAGGAAGAAAATCCCTGAAAGTGGCGATGCTAAAGGAAGGGGGAGAATCCAAGGCAATTGCAGAACAGGAACTAATTTGTTTACTTCATTTACACTGTGACTTTCTCCCCAGTGAGGACTCAAAGCCGTTTACATTGTGTCTTCTCCTCCATTTCCTCCCAACAACCCTGTGAGGTAGGTTAGACTCAGAGTGTGTGAGTGGCCCAAGGCCACCCAGCCAGCTTCCATGGCAGAGTAGGAATTTGAACCTGGAGTCTCCCAGGTCCTAGTCTGACACTCTGACCACTTTACCACACTAGTTTTCTGATGAGGCAACAAACACATGGTCAATATTTAGCACATACATAAAGATATAAAAAATTACTCACTCTGTCCTTGTCATTCAGCATGTCTGCATAACATGACCTGTAAACAAAGTTTTGGATTAAAAACAACAACACAGTTCAGACTAAGAACACTAGCAAAGATGACCAGCGTTAGAAAGTGCTAAGAACATATATTAGCTGAGGATTTACACATTCAACTAGAAAGGAGCAATATAACTGGAGGGAGGATCTTCCACCTACTGTGTTTTAGATAGACAAAGACTCACCAACCCCTTCAAAAGTTTGGCTTATACTACTCTAACAAGTTTTCGCTCTCCAGTAATGACGGAAGTGTGGTTCTACAGAAAACAAAATCTAGACAGTGATCAGCTGCTGGATCATGAAAAGCTCCAACATACGAGCATTTTTATCCAAGGGTCTGGAGTTTAAAAAAAGTGGATCACTTGCTGAGGGTTCACACTAGTTGCACTCCTGATTCATCTGTTTTCCTGGTTTTTCGGGCCATGCGCTTCCTTCTCCCGAGAGTATAAGGTGCTCCCTGGGTGAGGTTTAGTTTACAAACAGCAACAAAGCACCAGATTCATGCACAGATAGCTGTCTACCTTGCTGGTGGCGGGATGAGAATTTTGAAAAGGGACAGAATACTGATAGGCCTTGGTGAGTTAGGAAGCAACTGGGACTGGGCAAGATCAAAAATGTAACCTACGAAAGAAAGCAGATGTTGACAGTTGCATATGCAATTAGGCACACAAACTGTTTTCAAAAGAAAGAGAAAAGTGTCTCACAAATGAACTCAACAGTAGTTGAAACAAGGGATATTTTAGGATGTTTATCAGCACCTCCTCTTTGGTAAGGAACTAAGTTTCACGCAAATAAATTCACAAATAAAGCACTTATCGAGAGCAGGTCTCAGAATAAAGTGTATGCTCCACCAGTGATTCATTCCAGGGTCAGACATATCAGGTGCAAACTTTAGAAACCTTAAGTCAGATTCACACTACATTTACATTTCTATGAATATGCTCAGATCTTTCCCATGTGAGAGTAGCAGTGTGTTAAAACCCAAAACAACAGGAGCTTCTGAATGAGATTCTGGACGTAGCCACTGAATACAATACACAGGATCAGTAAAAAGCTCAGCTTTCACAAACGAAATTGCAGAATCTCTTCCTCACTTCTGAATTTCACAGAACTCCTCAGGCTTGACATTAACCTACAAGAGGGGAATGGGGTGGGCAGAGACATTCCTGGTGCCAGGGCAGATTCCTAGTACAGTCTTACTTATGTTTATTAGCTTCTATGACCAAAGGTCTTAAGCTCAATTATAAAAGATGAATATACAACATTAGCCTCATCATACGAACTTTACAATAAAAATTTGCAGTCAAAGTAATCAAATCTAAAAGATCTAAAATGTTAAAACAGAAGTCATGAATAAAACTATAATTCATTTAAATACTCATTTAAATCGTAATAACTGGGTGCATACCAAATTCTGTTACCGTTGGGTCAAGCCAGATTTTTGTCGCTTTACAGTTAAAACTATCATTAAAAATTTAGTAACAGAATAAGTGGTTTCACCCAGAGTTCAGTAGGTAATCGGCGTTTGGTAAGAACTGGAGTGATCCAAATCTATCTAGGAGTCGACCACTGATGACATAATAATAGAAGATGGCCAAGTGTTTCCACAGCTCCAGTCTCACAGTTACATAAGCTATCCGAGTATGGGACTTTAGAAAAGCAACCTGTTAACTAAGCAGTGGGAAAAGAGTTAAGCCTAGCAAGAGTGAAAACACGTCTGTAACTAGGTATTTTTAGGGATCTAGTATACGGAGTCCTAGTACAGTCTACAGCACAGGGGTGCCATGATTCCCGCCCTCATCTTTACTGGCGCCTGGGAAGTGGGTGCGGCTAGGTCTGGGCTTTTGTCCAGCAAGGCTTCTGATTGCCTGAGCAGATTAAAAGGCAACTGTTAAACAGAGCTTCTACCTGAACTGTTGATGCAGTACTATTAGAGCTATATATCACCTCATGCCCAGACATTTTGGCGTTGGCTTTGCCTCCTGTGGGTCACCTCATGCCCAGACATTTTGGCGTTGACTTTGCCTCCTGTGGGAGCCATCTTATGACTGGCTCCACCTCCTGCAACAGCCATTTTTCACTGTGCCCACTGCCCTGTGTCAGAATTTCAAAGGTGCCTGCAGCTCAAAAAGGCTGGGAAACCCTTTAAAATGTTTGTTCTGGTCTACATCTTTAAAATGTTTGTTCTGGAAACTGTCTGGAGACCAATGGGATTATATTCTGAGAAGTGCAGTACAGTGCACATTATGCTGATAACCGCTCAGAGCCCTCAGGGGGTGAGCGGTATACAAATGGAATGTAATAAATAATAATAATAAATAATGAATCTGCCTTCTACTGAATCAGACCCTTGTCCCACTTAGGCCAGTACTGTTTACTCAGGCTGGGAGCAGCAGCTCTCAAACAGTCTTTCCCATCACCTACTGTCCTTGTCCTTAACTGGAGATGCCAGGGATTGAACCAGGGACCTTCTGCATGCCAAGCAGATGTTTTCCCACTGAGCCATGACTCCTCAAATCTGTCTCTGGCACAGTAAAATCTAGAACCTCCTTGTACAGCAAACAGCCCATCCTGTCCCGGAAAGCAAAGAGCCTGTCCCTGTTCCCAATTAGTTCTTGTTCACTTTACCATGATTCATTTTCATCATGTTGCTATTAGAGTTCACGTAATGCAAGAAGCATCCTCCATACCGTGCAATTTCCTGATGATAGTCATAATTTTCATCTTCTTCCAGCCATTCCACGGCTCCCGTGGTTGGATTGGCTCTCCCACAGAAAACTTTCATGATTGTCTTGCCGTCACTGCTGCAATGAAACCTTTTATTTAGATCCTCTCCAACCTGGGCTCAGGAAGAACTAGGAGCAAATAAACGTCTTGGTAAGTTACCATTCAACAATAATATGCGACTCTCTGTGAACCTGGGCTCAGGAAGAACTAGGAGCAAATAAACGTCTTGGTAAGTTACCATTCAGCAATAACATGCGACTCTCTAATGCCAACAGAACTCAGTCTGAAATGCCTTTGCCATGGAAATGCTATCATAGCCAAAGTGTCATACTTTACAAAGCGGCATGCATGCATGTGCTCCAAACACATGCCAGCATACATGTAAAGATGCCCAGAGATGCCCGGTGCCATTCTGCCAGGGGCATTCAGTGAAACTGAACCAATGTGCACACTGCACAACAGCCACTACTGTGTGGACAAGCTAAAGTGCCCAGAGCTGAACTGAAGCTGCTTCCTACAGTCAAACAATAGCCTGCTATTTGCTCCAGTGACATCTGGGTTTGCTAAATATACTTTATATATAAAGGGAGATCTTTATAATACCTTCTTTCACATTCTAATAGGGAGGGAGAATTGGGAATTATTGGCCAGAGGAGAAAGGAAGGAGACAACATCCCCCAATCTTTTGCTCCCCTCTTTCTCCCTTCCTCTTCATCCCCCCCCTTTCCTATCTAACAGTAATTACTGTATTCTCATAGTTTCAGAGGGTAGCCATGTTGGTCTACAGTACAACAGCTAGAATCAAGTCCTGTAAGTTTCTATAAATGGTTCCCAAATATCTTTTAAAAAGTCCATACACAATTGCTGTCTACCGTTTCCCTGAAAATAAGACCTACCCAAAAAATAAGCCATAGCAGGATTTCTATGCATTTGTGGTATAAGCCCTAGTGTGTCTTCTTGAGAAAAAATAAATAGTGTCTTATTTTTGGGGAAACACGGTATATACCATGCATTCAAATACTGATTGAGTTCTAAATTCTTCAGTCCACTGCTTTACCAGAGGTGGGCTCTTATCTTTCCTACAAAACTTTTAGCTGCAGTAATGGCACATTTTCACTGACTATCAGTTAGCCTCCAAAAGACAGGCAGATAATTTAAAAGTATTTCAGCATCATCAAAGATCAATGAACGTTCTAATAAAAAACTGATATGAGCAATAACTTCTTCCCAGAAAAAAACCAAACATCTGGGCACTCCCAAAGCATATATTTAAGGTTGGCATCTTGTGAGCTTTAACTCTCAAAAGCTTATACCCTGAAAATCTTGTTGGGTCTCTAAAATGCTACTGGACTCACATATTCTTCCTATTCTATTTTACTATGTTAAATGATATCTCATGCACAAAAACACATAGAAAAATGTCATTCAAAGAACAGAAAAAATAATTTGCTCTGTATCATATAAAGGTTCTGTGGTCCTGTAACTATAGTATATGAACTCATTTCATATAGTGCACATGGATCATGATGAATTGTTGCTAAAAACTTCATCATAAGGCCAGCCAACTATCACTCAAAGATAATTCTATGTATGTTTCTATTTGTAATGTTGTTTGCAATTTAATGTTCTTGTTATGTTATCACAGAAAATTTTCTTTGTGTTGGATACATTGATGATGCCTGCAGAACTGGTGAGATCTGTGCAGGGCTCCACTTCCTTCACTGAAGAGTCTGTCAAATCTTTTTTTAAAGCCTTTTTTTCTTGGGGTGTGAGGAAAAGAAACACAATTCTACAGGGGCAGCTACGTCAGCCTGTTGCAGCTGAAATAAATATGAAACTTACAGCATCTTAAATTTCAGCTTAAATTTTTGTGAACTAGTGCTCTCACTTCTTCAGATGCAATGTGTGGAGCCTCATCAGGCTTTCATTTTATTTTGAGACAGATTTTTAAAAACCCGCAGGATCACAGAAAGTAGAGAGCAGAAGCAATTTCACCATGTATTTCCCGTAGTTCATAGAGCCCTGAGCCTGTTTATTTTTTCCCCTATTCCTAGAAATAATTAGGATCCACACAACGCATTGAAAATGTTTTCTCCTCGTCCACTTTTTAAATGGAAAAAAAAGTTTTTATCCCCCCCCCCCCCCGAAAATGTATGAATAAGGAGGTTCTTCTCAGAATATCTGAATACGTGCGCACAAAAGCTCATATTAGAATAAAATGTTAGAAGTTTTTTTGGCCGTATCTCCACATTAATGGCTGCATGTGGAAGACCAATCCACTGCATCTGAAGTAAAAAAAGTTTGTGCTGGAATAAAGTGCTTTTAAAAAAATATATACAAAGTGGAAAATGTAATTATGCAAACCCAAGTCTAATCAAGAAAAGTACCGATCCCATTTATTAGTCATAGTGAGGTGATTATGACCCTGCAATTCTCCCCCATCCCTATCCGCCTACAAAATATGCCGGGGAGGGGACTCTGCACACGCTCAGAGGCACATCGGCCCTAGAGGGAAACGGATCCGAGTAAAAGACCAGCCTCCCTACTCTGCTTGTCTCAGAGTCACAGTCGTAGGAAGAACCTCCACGTGGTCCAGCCGCTACGCCCGCCTGTAACGACCACCGATCAAGACGAGACAGCCGCCTGACTCACCTGACAGCCGCCACTCGCCTCACGCGCTGGGCGCTGCCATCTTCCCAAGATGCAACGCGCCACAGCTAACCAATTAAAAATTTACCCCTACTGGAAGGAGATGTTGGAAACTGACTTAAACACTTCCGGATCCTGAGTGAATAGTTTGGTAAAGCGCTTAAGCCGTTTTTGTCCTCTCAGCAGCAGCTCGATAAGGATTTCCTGGACTTTTTGCTCCGGGCATGATCTTTGAAATGAAAAGAAGCCTCTGGTCGTGTGTACCCTACCTCACAGGGCTGTTGTGAGGATAATGGAGGGAGAATTCCGGCTCCTGGCCACAAATGTAGCTTGGATTTTGTTAGAGTTTAGATTATTTTTTTTAGTAGCAGAAATTGTTATGATTGACAGCAGAGACCCTAGGAATTATATTTCTGCCATTTTGAAACCTAGTGGGTCAATTTCTTTGAAATACACACGAATCTTGGCAGGAACTGTAACAAAAGTCAGCCTTGCATAAATTCTTCCCTATGGGGGCGGGGGGATACAGCCTGGGTATTTCAACGCACTGAAAGGAACCTTCTAATTATGTTCAGACAATACAATTTTAATTCCACCTCTCAAGTCGCTGTGCACTGCACGGTCCCATATCCCGTGTTTTGTCCTCCTAACAACTCTGTGAGGTAGGCCTGCTGGGAAGTAACTGGCCCACAGTCACCCACCCAGCAAGCTCCATGGCTGAGTGGGGATTCCTACCCAATTTGGCTTGTTACCGACTCCTTTATGCGTCAACTAAAATCTTTTAAAATGATAACTCTTTACTTGCCTTTAAAAATACACTACCAAATATTGTAACTACTATCACGTTTTACTTGCCATTTTTTTTAAAAAAAGTATTATTTTGCTTTAGGCCAGCGTGGATGCTTTGCAACTTCATGCCATGTCAGAGTGGCGCTGTGAACCCGAGTTTCCTTAGCGCTCTAACCACCATACCGCCGCCCCACTTTGACATTATCTCCCTTAAGCATTTACACCAATCATATGGAATCACGCACTTCTGGTTAAAAAGCCGTGATGACTGTATCTCTTTGAACTTCACTGATGGGAGAAGCGGCGTGACGCGCCTTAGGCAGGAGGAGGGGCCGGAGCAGAACCTTGGCCTCTCTCTTCCCAGCATCCGTCGGGAGCAGCGCGGCCTGCTCAAGTTGCCATGGAGCGTGCGGCGGTGCTACGCGTGAAGCGGAAGCGCGGCGGTTCGGCGCCGGCCGAAGCCCTGTTGTTGGCCTGCAAGCGGCTCCGTACCGAGTCGGAGGCTGCCGACGCCACTGAGGGCGGCGATGGAGTGGAGAAGAATCTCTTCAAACTGGTGGCTACCGTGGCTTCTCAGGTGAGGGCCGGGAGGCGGCCGTGTCGTTTTGGCTCCGATAACCACCTGCAAGGTCTCTTCTCCTGTAAACTAGGGTTGCCAACTTCCAGGCGAGCCTGGTGTTCTCCCAGAATTTGCAGCTGATTTCTGGAGTACGGAGATCAGTTTCCCCCGGAGAAAACTGCAGTGTTTGGAGGACACTCTATATTACATCCGCGCTATCGCTCCCCTTTTCAGATTCTGCCCTTCCCAGGCTCCATCCCCAAATCTCGAGGAATTTCCCAACCTGGAGTTGCCAACCCTATGAAGTACTAGTTTTCAAATAATTTTTTAAGGTCTGTTTGCAGTATCAAAAACAGGGTGCATAAGCTTCTAGGGTGAACAGAGATTTATATTAGATTATTGCAAACACAAGAGTTATGGTACTTTTAAATGCTGACATTTGTATTAATTTACTTCATTTATAACGTACCCTTTCTCCCTAGTGGCATTCCCTAAGTGACCTGCATCGTTCTCTTCTCCTCTTCTGTTTTATCCTCACAACAGCCCTTCGTGATTGGTTAGCCTGAGTGTGCTTGGCTGACTTGAGGTCACTCATTAACCTTTCTTGGCAAAGTGGGTATCTGAACCCGGATCTCCCAGATCCTAGCCTGGTATTCTAACCACTACCCAATGCAGGCTTCAGTTTGTTGTTGCTGCTCAGATGTGTTGCCCTGTAGCCTAACATGGCTGCTCAGCTGTGTTACTCTGTAGCCACATAATATAATGTAACACGTGAAAATTACTAAAAAATATTAAAGACCATTTTGAGAGGTAATTTTTAAATATGGATAAATGTGGTTTTAACAGTCTTTAATAAATTTCACGGAAGTGTAACATTGTTACATGTCTATGTATCTGTGATTCTCTGGTATGCTGTGTGTTACTCTATAGCAGCAGAATAAAACAGGAGTCCAGTGGCACCTTAGAAACGTACATAATTTATTCTAAGGTGCCACTGAATTTCAGAGTCTCCAGTTAGAAGAGTCAGATAGGAAGTAATGTAAAAGACCTTGAACTGAAATCATGCCAGTCAGAAGACTGACTTTGACAGCCAGTGATCTGACTCTGCAAGAGGCTGTTTCATGTGCTTGTCTAAGGTCCACATTGTTGCAAGTCATTCTCCAGCTCCTGCATTACCATACCACTGAACTGCTGGATCTCCTGATATGTTCTTCACAGTTATGTGACAAGAGCATGACAACAAAATTGTACATGGTCTCTGGCATGTGCTAACTGCAGACAACTCTTGTATTTCTTCGGTGTGCTACTGCTCATGATTATATATGTAAATATCTTTAAAAAAAACAAAGGTCTAAGACAGTAATTGAACACACTCCATTTTTGCTTTGTTCAGGATGAGCCTGTTCAGAAGTATGTCCAAGAAGCTATTACCAAAGACAAAGCAGCTCAGCGCCTGCGACCATCGTTGGGAAGTACCGAGAGAGTAACGCAAGATCTTCGCTCTTCCAAGCAAGCCAGAAGGCAGGAGAGCCGCTACCGCCTGATAGCTAGCCACCGTCCAAATTTCACTGATGACAGAAGCACTCTTCCTGCAGATCAGGGGGAATCAAATGAAAACAAGCAGCTGGCCTCTGAAGCAAAAAAGGACCCTTCCCAGGAAGAAAGCCATGGTCCTTCAGGCTGTTGTGGTGAATTTCAGTTGTTTGATATCATACAAGAGGAAAATGTGAAGAAAGATCCTGGTATTCCACAGGTTGGTATTAAGCCTTGAGTGGTCAGCTGTCTACATTGAAGTGTGGCATGCTAATAACATATATAAATATAGCATATTTAGTATTTTGAACACTTATTTGTCTACATTATCAGAATTTTTGACCATTTTTATCTAGCTTGGAAAGGGAGACATTTAATTTGAGACACAGGATGACATCAACGAGATGCTGTTCAGTGGTATATTTGAGAATACTTGATAGTAGAACACCCTGTAAGTCTCTGGGAGCTAGAATTAAAAATATTACAGATCTGTTTTGCTGCTGGGAGTTTTTCGTACCAGTTTTGGCTCTTTGAATTTTAATTGACTCCTCCTTTTGCTTTTGGAGTTGCAGCTTGGAACAAGCTACAGAAACATTCCAGTACCTTGTTCTGAAATAATAGAATTTGAGATGCTTAATTCAAATGATGGGTTGGGTTTACCGATGCACCTAATTCCACAGCATTTTTGCTATTGGGGGGGGGGGATTGGGATGGAATGGGGGGGGGGGGAGACTCCATTCTGATTCTTTTGACAGGAATTACCTCATCTGCCAACAAGGTTTTTTTCATATGTGCATATGCGACTGACTCCTACTGGGGAGCTGGAGGATATTCAGAAAGGTGGTTGAGTAAAGCCTGCCCCAGCCCTCCTGCCTCTGGTATTTCAAGGAGGTTACCCATCCAAGTACTTGCCAGAGTCGACCCTGCTTAGCTTCCAAGATCTGACAAAATTGGGCTTGCCTGGGCTATCCAGGTCAGGGCTGCCAACCACAAGGTTGTCTGTACTTGACAATGGACAATTAGCTGTTTGCAGGCTTTGGTGGAGTCTGTTGTTGTGGATTACTTGGCACAGGCTTAATAAATGATAACACTGACACTTCTGAGAAGTTTAACATGTTCCTTGCCATAGTATAATTTAGGTTATGTTTACTGTTGCCTTTATCTGAGCTAGACTTATTCACTCTGGGGAAGAATCTGGGAAGGCACTTGCAACACTTGCCTTTTTCTCCCTGTGTCACTGAAGGCATGCCTACGTCTGGTATGACTTCCCCCCCTTTTGGACAACGAAGCATCTCCTGGCAGCTCACCAACTGTTGTTGAAAGATGTTTTCAAATGTATTATACTTACACTTTGCGAAGTGCCAGCATAAAGCCTCTTTGGATTCTTTATAATAATATGAGGGCCCAGAAAAAAACTCAGAGGGGGAAAAACTTTCATTTTCTGATGGGATAATTTAGGGGAGCACTGAAATGAAGCATCTATGGAACATTTTCTATTTTAGAATGAGTAAGATTGCGCCGCGGTGGCTCAGAGGTTAAGACACTGAGCTGCAGACCAGAAGGTTGAGACCCCAGTGCCACGTGATGGAGTGAGCTCAGGTCTCTGGCCCCAGTTCCTGCCACCTAGCAGTTTGAAAGCAAGAACTTGCAAGTAGATAAATAGATACTGCTACAGTGGGAAGGTAACAGCATTCCGTGCGCCTCGGCATTTAGTCATGCTGGCTACATGACCACGGAAATGTCTTCAGACAGCGAAGGCTCTTCGGCTTGGAAATGGAGATGAGCACCACCCCCCTAGAGTCGGATTCAACTGGTTTTCAAACAACGGAAACCTTTACAACTGTCTTAAAGCAAGGTTTTTCACATTGAAAATGTATAGCATGAAAAAATCTGAGAATTTCTTCAATTTTTCCAGTTGAAAAATAGGGGAAATTTGAGGAGCACTGGAGGTAAAATCTTATTCTGTAGACGTACACAATATTTTAAAGATTATTTTGTTTAAATATAAATAATTTGGACACCTATTAATATGTTCTAATGTGTTTAATTATATTATTAAAGGTTCAGTGTTTTCAGTGTTGGAAAGTTTAGTTTAATATTGCAACATGCTCACAGTCCTACCTACTGTGACTCAGTTTCTATCCAAATAGTATACTTATTTACCACAGAATTTGTTTTCTGCCTTCAGCTTTTATTTTTCCCTGTGTCTCAGATGGTAAATTAAAGATATATGTACAGCAGTTTGCAATTTTTTTCTCAAGTATCGGGTATACTTACAATATTTCTTATAGAAAATGAAGATATTTATACTTTGAAATTCCATAAATATGCCAAATAGTGTAATTTTATATGTTAAGCTATAAATGATGCATTTTATGTTTTTCAATCAGTAAAAGAAATTTAGGCAAGGTAGGAAAGTAAATATTATGTGAATTTATGTTTTTCCCTGGGGGGAAGTTTTTTCTTGGAAATTTTGCATCTCCAAGGCAGTGATCCATGAGGGGGAAAGCAACTAGTTTTAACTCTCCAAAAACACTCTCAGTAATCATCATTCACTGATGGGATATTCAGCATATTAGCTCAGACACCTCTAGTACAAAACCTTTTTATTTGGCCTTATAGCTTGCTCATCTGGGTTAATAGATTGTGTTGACCCATTTTTTTTTTAAGTCATGAATTAAATTATTAGCTCTTAATGTGAACATTCTGCACTTCTGCCACTAGATGCCAGCAAGCAGCAGTATTCAGCTGCAGTGCAAGCTGCCACAAATTCTGTAGGTACTTTAAAAACTAATAAATTAATCATGGCATATATTTTCATAAACTGGAGCCCACTTCCTCTGATGCCCAAACTGTTGTCCTTGGCTGGCTCTTAAATTTTTTAGACTCACTCTATCTCTTGCATGTCTTGTGATTAAACATGCCGTTTGGTGACACCTGAACTGGGGAACTAATAATCAAGCACCATGTTTCTTGGATAACTTTTTGAAATTATCTTCCAAGTGCTAATTTTGAAATATTGTTAAAGTTTACAAGATTTCTGAGTAAATACTAAGCAGATTCATCTTTCAGCAAGAAGGTTCATATTAGCCAGTTTTCTATGTGATCCAGTTACATCCCACTTGAGATGAAAAAGAAGTAAAAAGGAGAATGTGTAGGAGGCAGATGTAACAATATGTATTTTTGAACAAGCTGCCTTATCCTTTTCTTACCACATAAATCTCTTGGTTTGGTACATAAACTGGTTTAAGCAAAATTCATCTAGAAGCTTACTAGGTAGAACGGATCCCATAACTGTTTCTAATCCTTACAGAAAACTGATGATCCAGATGTGATTCTCTGCAATGCCGTAGAAATGATACGTGAACGTCTAATAGTGTCTGACAGTACTGAAGAAGCAGAGTGTAGTATGAAGGAAGATGACTACGTGTATGATATCTATTATATGGAAACAGTATCCCCAGGCTGGATTGAGAACATACTCTCCGTACAGCCCTACACACAGGATTATGAACTGGTAAGGAAATGGAGGGAGTCACATTAAGGGCAGAAGAGAATGAAAAGTTTTGGGGTACTCAAGATGTTGTAACTATTAGACGTTTCAGAGGGTAGGCATGTCGGTCTGCAGTAGAACAACTAGACTTGAGTCCAAGAGCACCTTAGAGACCAACAAGATTTTTGGTGTATAAGCTTTTGAGAGTCAGCGCTTTCTTTGTCAGATACTGGACTCGAATCTAGCAGTAAACATTAAAATGCAACAGGAACTTGGGATTCAGGTGGGTAGCTGTGTTTAACTTGAGTATTTTAAATAGTGATTGTATCTGAAGACAAGGACTGAATCCAGGCATAATAAAATCTTAGTTTATCATTACAGGAATGAATTTTGCAAGTCTCTGTCGTATTATGCTTCTTTTTCTGTGTCTCAGACTGTTCTCTAATACTGGAGGCCTTCTGGTGTCCAGCAAAGTGATTTGCCATTGCATTTGAAGTGCAAATAATGATTTATAGGCAAAGAGACAAACCATAGCTTCTAGTTCTGATGCAGTAACAAACTGCTGTTACGAGCCTGGCATATGCAGAAGAGGGAACACTTTAGACTCCAAGGTGTCTAAGTGCAGCTACTGCTCAGCTTTACTAACTTGCATTAGTTACCAAGATTGTTAGGGTAATCCCACAGTTGATATTTGGCATATACACGATTCAAGACACTTTAGTTACTAAATGCATGCTTTATTGCAGCCAGAATAGAGGGACACATGTGATATTCATGCATGGTCCTCTTCATATGTTTGAGCCAGCATTGGACTGGAGGAAGGAAGCCTTTGGAGTGGCAGCCAGGAATTTTTCTACCCATGTGCAAGTCATGCATGAAACTGAATGAAGTGGGGTGGGGAGTTGCTCATACATATATTTTGACAACCCTCAGACAGAGAAACTGTCTTCTGGCAACTAATCAGGTATCTATACCTGGAGAAAACAAATGGGTTGTATCTTCTGACTCTGCTCAGCTAAGTGGTTCCCCCTTGGCAGAAGAGGTTCTTCTTCAGTGTCAGAGGAAGGCCTCACACTTAGCTGAGCAAGAGGATACAGCTTAAAGGCATACAATTTTTTCCATCCAAACACTGTACTTTTTTAATGGGTGCGAACAAAATAGGCTCCAGGATCCATGGTTTTAGTTACTAGATCTTACTTTCCTTCAAGGAGTTGAGTACTGTGCATAGTTCTTCCTGTACAAGAACCCTGTAAGTAGGTGAGGCTGAAAAAATGAGTAGCACAAGGTCACCTAGTAAGTTTCCTGGCAAGCAGAGATTTGAAGCTGGGTCGTTCCAGACCCACCATTACAAAATGCTGAGTGATGTTTGATGTACATTTGCAATGGCTGTTGTGCCTGATTGGATGAAGTGGGCTTTCTCTGAAAAGAGTGCCTTTTGATAACATGCAGGTGGATGAAGAGCGCATCCCAGAAGAAGTGTACGATGACGAAGATGATGAGAACAACGAGAACAACTGGCGTAATGACTACCCAGATGAGGATGAATTCTTTGAGGAAGATGGTAGTGATAGGGAAGCAAGTAAGTGCTTTCTGACATTGACCATGGGATTGCATGAGCAACTGATAACATTCTGAATAGCAGAAAGCCTAGAACTGGCCCATCAAGGATGAACACAGGGCCGGCTCGCCCACTAGGCGCTTGCCTAGGACGCGCTGGACCTCAGGGGCGCCAAAGTGCGCCCCCCCCCGCGCCAAAGAACCGCTGCTGCCCTGTGCGCCTTGCCTTCGCTCACTGGCTCCGCCGTGCGCGGGGGGGGCAGCGCAAGGCTCTGAAGCGCGGTGGCGGTGGCGCACCTGGAGCGGCCTGGGGGGGAGGCGGTGCAACCAGCGAGGCTGGCTGGCTCCGGCGGGGTGGGGTGCAAGGCTCTGAAGCGCGGGGCGGCGGCGGCGCGCCTGGAGCAGCCTGGGGGGGAGGCGGTGCAACCAGTGGGGCTGGGTGGCTCCGCGGTCTGGCTCCGGTGCGTGCGTGGGGGGCTGCGGGGGGACGGTGCTCTCCTGGCGGCAGCGAGCCGTCGAGCAGCACAGCTGGGAGGTCCCTCCTCCCCGCGTGCCCGAGCGAGTGCTTTTAGAAAGTGGGTGGGGCTTGCTGGGACTTCAGTGCTGCAGGGCTTCCAATTGGCTGCGCAGATTAAAAGGCACCAGAGCCAGGCCGCGAAGCCAGCCAGCCGTGCTGGTTGCACCGCCTCCCCCGTGCTTCAGAGCCTTGCGCGCCGCTGCCCCCGCGTTTCAGAGCCTTGCGCTGCCCCCCCTGGCGCGCGGCGGAGCCCGTGAGCGAGAGCAAGGCACGCAGGGCAGCAGCGGTTCTTTGGCGCACGCACGGGGGACGGGCAAGTGTGTGTGGCAGCGCTCCAGCAGGCCCGCAATCCCCGACCCACCGACCAACCACCGGACTGGCCAGCCAGCTGCGCTGCTGCCCGGGCCCTCCATGCCGCCCGGCCCTGCCCCCAAGCCAGACCCGCGCCACAGCTCACCCGCCCTCCCCCCTGGGGGGGGAGGCGGCGGCAGCAAAAGGGTGTCCAGGCCCCACCGGGAGGTTGGCATTTGCGCCTGCCTAGGGCGCAGAAGCACCTCGAGCCGGCCCTGGATAAGCAGTCCATGGGCCAGGAAAAACAACACCTTTTGTGAGATGGATATGACATCTGGGGTATTAGTCTGACTCGTACTTTTATTATAATTACTTCTTCATGCTGGGAAATTCATGGTGTTCACAGAAGCAACTAGATGAGTTAAGCAAGAATCACAATGTCTTGAGGCATAGAATTCAAGATGTCAGTTAACAACAGCAAAAACCTATCCAGAGCAAAGCGGGATCTCTTACATGCCACACATAAATTTGTGTTTTTTCTCTAGGTGGAAGCAGTAATGAAGATAGTGGATACATCAGGAGAACATGGGAGAAATATCAGGCTGATGTCCTGCGGGAGTTTGACTATGATGGGTTCCGAGAGCTGGATTCTGAATAGCAGAGAACTTTACTGCCAAGGTGACTGTTTGCAGTGGCCTTTAGAGTTTGTAGCACCACAACTGTGTCACTTCCCATGGTGCATACTGTGTGGTTGCTTCATTGCTCATGGGAGAATATGGAAAAATTGAAAGGACTCTGCAACTTCTGCCTGCATAGAACAGTAGACATGAGAAAATCCCTGGACTTGTCATCATCAAATTTACCACACTGGGATGTTTGACAAGTACTTTTGGTGCCGGACAGAAGGATACCTTCCTAAAAGAAGTCAGTTTGCCTTCCGTGGTCAGTACTGCATTTTTACAGATCTACTGTGGACTGAAGTTGAACAATTTTTTCATCTTCCCTTTTGCACTTTAGTATTTGCTAGAGACTGCTAATACTTGGTTTTCGAATGTGTAAATGAATATATCAATGTTACTTCTATTGAATTCCCTCACATTTGCGTGTTCATGATTCTCACTTTTAATATGGAAGCACAGTGTTATCACACTAATGATTCTCACATGTAAACTGACAGTCCACACCCATTCCTTCTGCGTGTAAGTGCTCCTGTTACTTCTAATTTATGGAAACCTGATGAATTGACCTCAAAAACATCCTATTGTTAGCAGCCTTTTCTAGTTCCAGCAACTTAAGAGGCGTGACAGCAGCTGCCTCCAAACCTTAGGTGCCCGAAGAATTATTCAGAATTTGCTATAACAGAGCTGCACTATCGGATGCTGTTCTGTAACAAGAGAAAGTCACAGCCATTTTCAGTTATTGCCCTGTATTTTAGTGCTAACACAAGTCCTATACCACTGATGCTCACGTTTTATGCTAATGGGCTTTTACTTGCTTCAAGAATGGAACAAAGGACTTTGTCAATATTGAAAACGGTATCAATGTGGCTGCAGCAGAAAAGATAGTCAGGAATTTAGAGTATCTAAAAGTAATTCAATCTGTGCTATAAAGCGTACTAATTTCGCCCCAGTTCAGGAAAGGGGATCAGTGTGCAGATTTGAGCCTCCTCCATGTTTAGAGTAAGGAGTTTGCTGTATGGAGAAGAGATACAGGGCTAAGTTCTATGCAGTGTCACCTGTGAGCCGTCAGTGAAAAGCTCAACACCATGCGTGCCTGCATGGTGAGATTAACACACACACACACCCAGTTGGATTGGTATAAGCACTTACCATGCAATCTAGGTAGGGAGTTGCTTTTATATTCTGTGGCAACTTCCTAATCAGATGAAGGGGGGAGAGGTACAATCATTCCCTCACTAAGTCATAAGAGTAGAGTTAGTTGGGTTACACAGAAATTACTCTCAAATCTACAAATACTGAAATTAATTTCATGGCAATGTATTTCCTGCTTCAAGTATTTTTCAAGTCCCTTAACATAATGCAAAATGGGACAGGGTAAAATAGTAGCAGTTGCATCATGCATACAGAAAATGGTAATACAAACACTGGCATAGTTCCATATCTAAGCATTGTCCTCAAGTAGAGAAATGCCAACTGGCTCCATGCCTTCCTAGAATTAGGCAACTATGCTACTTTTGATTCTAATTGTTGGAAACCAGTCAAAGGAAACTGCTGTATCCTCTAAACATCTGCTGTTTATAATTTGAAGAGCCAGCTGGAACATTTTAAGCAGCTAAGGCACAAAATGGAGAAAAAGAGGTACAGAAGTTATTAAGGTTTGCAATTCTAACAGGAAAGCTGAATACAACATCCAAGACCCTTGCTGCACAGAGAACATAGTAGGGTTGAATTTCAAAGCTCTGTTTCTGCCTGTTTTGAATGATCACTATATTATTCAAAGACTTTGTCAGGGCCAGCATCCCCAGTGTGGTACTGGCAGGTTATGCGCATGCATGCAATTGGCATGGGTTCTCCTTCACACATTCAAGCAACAAGAACATGAAAACCAGATTCTTATTATTTTATTCCCACATAGTGGAAGTTAATTTTTCGTACCCCTCCCCAGGTTCCTTACACATCACAGTGGTACAAAAGCACTCTTGTTACAATCAACTGGACAATTCTGAAACTATCCGATGCAGACTTTTTATAAACGTTCCATTGTAACAGTATAATGGAGTGTAATAATGATTTAGAGGAAAGTTCATACACATGAGCGCCACTTTTACATGCTAAGGTTAAACAAAGTGTTTGGGGGACATTATGGATTATATAACCTCTAACAGGCTACTGTTTCACTGTACTAATGTAAATGGACAGTCTGGATTCCATCAGAACCTAAATAAAAGGTTAAGATAGGGTGAAGTGCAGCACATTGTTTATAAGGTTGTGCAGGGAGCTGAGTCTGATCCTTAATATCAAAGTCCTCTCCCCACATCAGATCTACCATTATTCCTATGGAAGAAAATATAGAATACCATCATATTTGTATTGTCCCCCTCAACAGACACAGGGTCAAACCAGCAGCCCCACACAGAAGCTTAAAAAAAAACACTTCGCAATCATAAGCAGATCTACTCCAAAGTCAAGTCCCATCTTATTCAGTGGGGCTTACTCCCAGGAAAGCTTACTAAGAATTGCAGCCTTAATCACAGATCTCCTTTATCAGATCTAACAAGACCCAAGACTGACCCAATTCCTTTTAAGACATCATTTCTGTGAGACAGGGTCAAAAGAAGAGTCATTTTCGACTGTTAACAGTTAGTAACTAATGTCTAGACAGATTAAATTATAAATCCAGCTCATCAAAGCACCAAAAAAATAGTGATGACAATGCTGTTTTTTGTCACAAACACAAGCCTTGCTTATGCAATTTTGAGTTCTTCCAACAATCAAAAGTAGGACATTTGGACAGTTTCCCTTTCAAGCACCAGCTATAGTAATTACCCTTTTATGGGGCTCTGATTCACAGCAGTATTTGTATGTCCTCAACTATGGCAAATTTGGGAAGAATATTCATTTAAAAAAGACATACACCTGGTTGGTTCTACCGCCCACATAAAAGCAGTCCACGATGTTAGACAATTCTTCCGGTAGAAATCTTTGGTCTTCACCTCAGCATTCAGGTTTATTTTTTATTATTTCACTCTATGGAGCAGCTGGCAATCTGCACATGCGGGGGAGGGAGAAATAAACATTTCCCCACCCCCAGAGGATGAGCTGCCACCAAGACCCAGACTGCTCAGGTTCTGCCTTCTTGTCCACCTCCACAGCCTGGCTTATCCCTTCATGGCTGACTGCAACCAACAAGCCGGGCTGTGCTTCCAAAAGGAGGGTGCTCCTTTCACACCCTGTACAGAACAAGTAGGATGTGATTTGTTAAGCCTGGCTTGGTGGTAATAACAGCACTCCCTGGAGGGTCTCTGGTGTCGATGCTGCAGTGGCACCTGTATCTCAAAAGGCAGAGAGCCTCGCCATCATGAACAGAAGGAGAGAAGGCAAAACCTCACTCAGGACTCTTCTAGTTGCTGCTGCCACGGGCAACTCAGCTGTGCCAGGGAGTCTTGGTGTGGGGAACACAGAGATGCACTGCCTTCATTGCAATGCACTGTTACTGTCAGTTTCCTGTCTAATGCTTCCCTTGTAGGTTAGGAGGGCACACTGCAGCAGAAAATAAGTGCACAGGAGCAAATGGGTTATGAGTATAAAGTTCTGGGGGAATGTTAAGGAAAAGAGGGACAAAAATATTCAACCATAAGTTCTAACGGAAGAGTCCAGTTTTTGGTTGGTTTTAAAGTTCAAAATCCTGCCCCCCCCCCCCCCGGTCCTTGGGGAGTGTAGCCATTTCTCATTTTTTCACATTAACATCTTGGGGAAGCTAAGTGCATGAAAAACATCTTCATAAACTCGGCATATAAGAGTTTGCACAGTATATAGGTACTTAAAGGATATGTTTCCACCCCCTTTCTCACAGACCCACATACCAAACCAGCGAATTCCAGTCTTAGTATTGCCAAACAGTTCTGCTGTATAAAAAAAGTCTTTAAATATAGGAAAGGTCTCTGATAAGCATTCATTAGTAACTATATAATAAACAGTGCTGAAAAAAGAATGCAAACTGAGAACCAATCCCTGCTCTGGTATCCTCAGCTTTTTGAAGTATTTAAAGCCCTATTATTTGAATACGCTACTTTACAGGTTCCAATTGAACCACACAAACAAGACCTGCCAGATTGTTCTTCAGCATAAAATTGTTTAGCTTTGATTGTACTTGTCTAATAAAAAGACATTGTTTTTATGTGCAAGTGTTGAACAGTGCCATCAGAACAAGAATTCCACAGTCCAAACATACACTAAGCCATCTACGTGCATTCTGCTGGTAGACAAGAGTTCCTAACAGTGATAAAATTCTACGCCCAATTCAACCTGGGATGGAACACTTTGCCACAGACTATCAGTCCAAAGAGGTCTGAAGCCAAAATTGACCTCACGCAGGTTGGAAGGATTTGTTGGTGCCTTTTAAACTGGCTTGGAACTGATAAATATATATACATATATAAATAAATAAAAAGTTGCTGCCATGCTGCTCAAAATTCAAGTCAATCAAATTTCTGAACTTTGATTATGAATGCTCAGTTTGCTTTCAAAGAAACATTCCTTATTTTTCAGGATGAGTTCTATGCCTGAGAAGGCTGGCCTTTCAAACACAGTTTACAAAAAAAAAAACCCAAAAAACCCTCCCCACACTACAAAACTCAACCCTAGATCATGACACAGTATGATCTGGGCAAGAACCCCTCTTCGGGGGAGGAAAAGGAGTCTTGATTACAGTCTTCCTTCCTGTGTGCCCACGCTGCAGACCCATGGGCTCTTCCACGGCTAGTTTAGTGTTTCAGTCACTTGCATCTCTATCGAGACTTGTATCCATTTCTGTCAGAACGCAGTAACAAAGCAACTGGGTGGCTCGAGTGACAGCACCTGTGCAAGAAGTAAAAGGTAAAATTAACCAGGAAACAATGGAAGTAATACCAGAGCAAAAACCAGCTGCTTGCTGAAGATAGACTGACAACTGAAACAAACGAAAATGGTATTTTCTGAAGAAACAGAAGCTTGTTTCTATTCTGCATCTCTTGCCAACAAAAAGGCACAAGTCCTTTTCATTATCCTAACCCCACCAGTAGACTGTGGATTTGTCTCACAGTGATGTATTTTTTTTCTAGCAAGTACCATCTATCTAAGCTTGGGGGTTTTACAACTTTGATATGAAATTAAAACTGAAAACTAGCTGGGATTACAATTAACTAAAATGGGGTTGGATCCAGAGACCCATCAGCAGAAAGTGTTGATAGTCATGGATCTTCCGCATACCTCCACCCACACTACAAAGTGGTCCCTTCACACTTTGGGAAAGTGGATTTTTTGAGGTCATAGGGCTGTGCTGATGTAAAAGGAAGCAAAATTACCCTGAGCTCTTTGCATCAGCAAACTTGACACCTGCAAAGAAAGAGGAGGGGACAAACTCATTCCCCTACCCAGAGGTCATTTCGGGGGGGGAACGCGGGGGAACACAGTTCCCCCGGGTGAGGTACGGGAGGCAGGGCACATGACGAAGCCCCGCCCCCTGCTTCCGGCAGCCCCGCTTCCGGCCCTCATTCAGCCAGGAGGAGGCAGGAGAAGAGGGAGGGTAAGTTGCTTCCTCCCTGTCTCTCCCCACCCCTGCCTGCCTGGGGCCAGGGAGGGCCTTCGCGGGGCTTCCTTGCACTCCCGCCGGCCTTGCAGGTCCACCGCCAGGCCCCTCATGGGGCTTGGCAGTGGAGCTGCAAGGCCGGCACCAGCGGCCGGGACCGTTGGGGGCGGGGTGTGTGGCCTTATGACACATTTCCGGTGATGTCAGGAGGTGTGGCCTTATGACACTTCCAGTGATGTCAGGGGGTGTGGCATATGCTAATGAGTTATGCTAATGAGTTCCCCTAGCTCTTTTTCTACGAAATGACCCCTGCCCCTACCACCATCCTTAATGTAGCCCCCACTCATATGGCTATGTAGTTCCTGCAACCCCAAGAAGTGGGGTTTGAAAGGACTGTTGGGGTAGAGGAACATGGGAAAGATCTGTAATGTTTGCTCACATGGATAATGAGATCCAACCCATACTTTCAGCTCAAGTAACCATTCTTTGTCCCACAACAACACACAGAATACAGAATGTACAGCAAAAATAAGGTAAAGTAAAGGTAAAGGTTCCCTTGCTTGAAAGCCAGTCGAGTCCGACTCTAGGGTGCGGTGCTCATCTCCGTTTCAAAGCCGAAGAGCCAGCGCTGTCCGAAGACGTTTCCGTGGTCATGTGGCCGGCATGACTAAACACCAAGGCGCACAGAACACTGTTATCTTCCCACCGAAGTGGTACCTATTTATCTACTTGCAATTTCTTGCTTTTGAACTGCTAGGTTGGCAGGAGCTGGAACTAGAGACGGGAGCCCACTCCGTCATGCGGCAACTCAGGTCTCGGACTGCTGAACTACTGACCTTCCACAGCCTGCAGTTCAGCGTCTTAACCACTTGAGCTAGGCAGTAAAGAGGGTCTATACCACCTAAGACTGCAGGTGGGATTGCATTTTAAAATGCTCCTTCACTTTAACCCCCCCAAATACAGAAAACTTCACAAACCAAGAAGAGAGGATAGTACCTTTGCCCTTAATGCACCAAGGCTTTTCTTTCAAGCAAGCAACTCCCTACTTATATAGTCTGAAATGGAGTGACTGAAGAAGGATTCTACTGTGTCACATTGCTGAATACATAGCTAAGTTCTGAGATAAGACACTTCCTTGGAAGAAATTTACGCATCATTCACTCTTGGGAACAATGGGTAAGATCCACCCCCAAAAGGGCACAGCACCCAGAGGCAGATACCTATTTCTGCTTTTCTCCCCTGTTCCCTTAAGCACAGGTAGTATGCCAGGTCAGCCTTTGGAATGAAAGGTCTATGTGTGCCTCCCATATCCTCCCGCTGGCTCCCTCTTCCACTTCAGTCCAGTTTCTTGAACATGTGCCTCCCTTAATAGCTTGTCACATTGCTGAGAGGGGTGGCTTCCTGAAGGGCAGCATGCAAAATCACAACACACACACAAATGATGAAACTAATCTGAAAACAAATATCTGTTCCTAACAGGTGCAGCCATTTCAGGACAGCAGCATCCAGAACTGCCTTTCTACAAAGTTTTACATTCTTTTATGGCTGTGACTTCTTGATAAACTCCAGCAGAAACTAGAAGCACTATTATAAACATTACTTTTTATTACACAGAGGTAACAAAAACCTGCATTTAAAAAAATATATATAATGGCTGCTCCATAGTTGACATGATCTAAAATTACACTCATTATTGTCTTTCTGTTACTCATTTATTTGTTAACTGAGGACTTGTCCCCACCCTCATTCAGTTCCTCCTTACCTAAAATTTTGTTGACAAAAGGAGGTCTTTTGGAAACAGGCAAATAGACTCCCATGAAGTACACTGGAATCCCAGAGAGCGCAATGCCAATACCAATCAGGGAATTAATAGTGTCACTATAGAGTGGCACAACCACCAGAAATATTGAGCATATGCAGAAGGATATTGGGAAAAACAGGCTCAACTGAAAAAGAGGACATGTGGACAACAAATAAGTAACTAGCGGTTTTACAGTTCAATTTGCTTTTTTCATGGTAATGAAGTTTTCAAATTCCTCATGTAGACTAGAAATTCTAACATGTACTCCAATGACAAAGGTGTGCTTGTAATAGTCACTCCACAGAGCACCAAAATGAAAATTGAGGCAGATAAATGACTGGAAATGGCATATGAAGTTACATATGAACATGAGAATGTGACTTATAAAAGACCATTAAGCCCCTAGCATTGTCTGCCAGCAGCCCTCCAGGGTCTCAAGCAGAACAAATGTTGTTTACCATCTGAGAACTTTTGGGTGGAGATGCCAGAGATTGAACCTGGGACCTTCTGCATTCAAAGTGTCTGTTCTGCCACCAAGCTACACCCACAAGCCACAGCCCTGGTCCTCACCTTCAGTGGCCTGTACCGATCTGGTTCTTTCCAACGGAGGTAGAGCTGCCCAGCAATTGATAGTCCCATGAAAAACCAATAGCTGAAGCTGAAGTAGTTAATAAGCTGGAAGACATCTTCTACAATCAAGTATATCAGGCTCATAGAACACTGTTAGGAAAGGTAATAAGAATGACATGAACATCAAAGGCATGTATCAGCAACAGTGCTTGCTCCCTTTTAACTGCAATGCTGCAACAAAATCCAGTATGCTTAAGAGTCTGTCCATCTGGTTAAACAAGGGCATACATGTTCTCAGCAGATGCTGCACCATCACGAATCCCCTGGATGGTCCACAGGTGGGCTTTTCTGGGCAGCACTTTCCATTTGCACTGCCATTTGATATCCACAGGCTAAGTACTGACCTGGACAGCCCAGGACAGCCCATCAGACCTTGGAACCCTAAACAGAGTAAACCCTGGTTTGTACTTGGATGGGAGACCATCAAGGAAGTCCAAGATTGCTATGCAGAAAGAGGCAGCGACAAACTACCTCTGTTTGTCTCTCACCTTGAAAACCCTACAGGTTCACCATAAGTTGACTGACTTGACATCACTTTACACAGGCTAAGGAGGTAAAGCTGTATTTAGATTTTACCCTTTGGAAACAAAGCAAATTACAAATGGATGGGAAGCAATCCTCCTTGCCTATCCTCATTATTGTGGTGGTGAGACAGCTTTATGGATGACTGTGGAGAAAATGACAGTTCTATACTTCATCAGATTCAGCCAGTGCATTGCTTCTAATTAAATTCTCTCCATCTACCACCGCAAGATAAAATTCTGTGATGGGCAACACTTACAGTGATCTTCTTAAATACTAATTTAAGTATTTCACTTACATTGAAGAGAAGTGCGGGTACTGGTGTAAACCTCCCTATATGGATCATTGACAAGAGGTCAGGAAGGTGACCCTCCCTGGAGCCAACAAAGAACAGCCTGAAAAACAACAGACTGGCTGTGATACAGCTGCACAATCTGAAGCCAAGTGCAATAGGGCAACAGACAACTCAGAATTTATCCTTAATAAAAACACAGTTTTTTGTACAAGATTTAAAGTTAATCTGAAATATGAGAAATAGACTATACAGAATTACTTCTAGAAATACCCTACACAAAACTGTCTTGCCAGAACTGAGTAAAGCATGTTTTATTGATTTTAGTGTGTTGAGATTTGTTTTTATGTCTTTGCTTCAAGTGCCTGCAGAAAGAGAATGTGACCAATACAGTTTAAATAAATGTATCGCAGAGTTTCTCTATTGGGAGATGAAAGCAGTTAGTTTATACTATTTAAACTTTCCGACATGCACTGTTTTCATGATAAAACTATCAAAACTATACTTTGTTATATGAAATCATAACTGTAACATTGCTTTGCTATGCACAAGGTACTCTGCATAAGCAGCA